ACTTTGTTTTGTTTTCAAATCAATTACGCTCCTAAGTTGCCTCGAAATTAAACCTCTTCTCACCTATACGCTCTATCATTAGCGGCATCAAATCTCTTCCTGATCCACATAATCATTCAGAATTTCAATTACCAATAGCGGTGGTTTTAGAGCGTCCAATTAACAATATTTGGTCTACATCCAGTGATCAATGTCCCTTAAAAACCAAAGTATACAATAAGGTTCAAGTAAGACACTTTTACACTTTCGATAATACTCACTCCCATTTAACTCGGCGCGCTCATCAAGACCCAGAGAAAAATATCCCATTCTCGGATCTCGCTTTCATCAAAGTCTTCTGCTTGATCTAGCCCAACTGTATCCGTTTGCTCTGCGACTATTGACACCCAACAATCACTTGTTCGGGTCGATTGAAACTGAACCATTGACTGACTTTTTTCGAAACACTTTATTAATCAATCAAATTTCAACCAAGTCCTTCAAGGAAGAAATGGTCCACCGCACTCCTCAGCGAGTTACGTCTGTCATTCGTTACACCGGTTCTACTTGGAAAGCGTTTTGGCGTAGTCGGTTGAACTTTCGTACTAAAAACGTCTGGTTTCAAATTCTGCATAATAAGGTTAATACGACCCTCACTATGCATAGATATCTCCCACAGCTAGTAGACTCTCCTCTCTGCCCGTTATGCTCTGCCAGCTCTCATTACCCCAAGCATATGTTCGTCTCTTGTCAGCGTGTTTGGCAGATTTGGAAACGATCCTTCACATATCTATATCCGCAATTACCTGCCTTATATTTACTTAAATCGTCCGAGGTCCTATCCAGTATATACACGTTCAACTTCCCCAGTCGTAAAATGTTCCATCTTCAAACCACCCCAATTCTTCTTTTTGGCTCTATCCTTGAAGGCATTTGGAAACACTACTGGAGTTTTATTTTTGATTCCACACCTTTTATCCCGGATCAGGTTGTCTGCACTATCATTGGTATCGCTCACACCTATATCAACCAGCACAACGTGAACTCAACCAATTTCCTTATCATTTAATTGTCTTTATTTAGCTTTTGTTTTTCTTCACATTTTAACTCATCCCTTATTATATCATTCTACTATCACTGCATACCTCTCATTACGACGTGTGACTTTCATTGAATCTTAAATAAAATTAGGATTTATACAAAAAAAAAAGAGGTTGATAAACTATTGACACTTGCATCCAACCCAGTGAAGGCTTCCTCATGTTTTTGTTCTTTATCCCCTTTATGCTCTTCATCCTGATGATCCACCGTCACCAAGGACTCTCTCATTTCTTTTGTCTGTGCTTCTTACTCCTCTCTAGCAGAAGCGGCCATTTCTCTTTCCTTTCTCAGTCGAGTTTCAATCTTTTCCAAATGTCTGGTTTCTTGTAATTTAGCCCACCCTTCTTCGCGCAAAATTTGATCGCCCAGTGTTGGTAATAGGGACAGCACTGTGAGTACACAATCGTTTTGTTTTTGTTGAAAATGACGCTTCAAGCTACAACTGATATCATTAGTAACCAAAAAAAAAAAAATAGTCAATACTCTGCCTCCTCCCCCCTTCTTCATAAATTTACTTTTCTTTAGCTAATCGTTCGGCAGTAGATTTCTCTGAAATGCTCTTAATTTGGAAATGGCATGTTTTCCTGCAAAATAACTACCACGGCAATCGTGGCTGTTATTAATAAGCCATTACGATGTCTCTTAACGTAGTCCTTGAGTGAGGTGTAAATGGTCGTGATGTGGAAGAGTTAGAAGAGAAAAAAACTATGCGTAATTTGTTTTTCACATGAACAAGGTATTCATGATTTGCAAGCTTTTTTTAACCCATCAACTTGAAAAAAAAAAAAAAAAAAAAAAAAAAAAAAAAAAAAAAAAAAAAAAAAAAAAAAAAAAAAAAAAACGTCAATGGAGTTTTAAAAGTTTGATAATGCTGTCATTTCAATGCACTCCTTCTGTTTGCTTTGGTTCACTTTGCTGTGAATACAAATGCGTTCCATAAAAGGGGTGTCAGACCACCCTGTTTATAGCTGCACTCTCTAATAGACCCCATAAAAACCAATGCGTGCGAACGATAATCCCAGAGTCAGTAACCACAACTCTTTAAAGGAGTGCCATCTTTTATCAACTTTCAGAAAACTGTTTTATTTGAATTCATAGGCGTTCTGTTCATATTATGTATGTAGTCTTAGTGAGCACATCAATTTCAAGATGTATTCAGTTATAGATTTATCAATCATGATTTCGAAATATTATCTGAGTAGTTGTGACATTTTACTGTTGCTTATATTTTTGCCTGCAGATTCATGCACCTACTTAATTTTTAAATTGATCAGCGGAAGTGAAGCTCGTTTACCAGAAAAAAAGATACGAAGCTACTTTGAAACTGTTTTTTTTTTTTTATAAAAATGTGTCAACAAATTTTTGTCTTGGGTTGACAAACTGGTGAAACCTGATTTCAGAAATTGCGTAGCGGAGTAAACTTTTAGAAAGCACAACAATAGTCTCGTCTGCTTTAAAAGGACCTCTTTCCTTTCCCTCCTCCTCAGTTACACTTTAATAACCAACACAACTACTCAAAATAATTTGGAATTGTGTTACAGATATGTTTATATAAAGTATTAGACCAATCCAACCATGGATACTAAAACGGTATTATCAAGGATGCAAGTTATAAAAATTTTTAAAATACAAATGTATAAAGATCCAGCGATATATTAATTTATGCAAAGTAACGTATAATGAGAAATAATAAAATTTTATTCATAAAATTGTAACAATTAATCAAATTCTAATTTCATAATGATGCTACACCGTTTATAAGAGGGATGTTGACCAAGGTGAATCGTTTGGAAACCAAATTTTTTATAAAGAGCAATAGCATTTTCTAATTGTACGGATGAATAGAGTTCAATGAATGGAAAGCTTTTGTCTTTTGCCCATTGTATAGCTTCTCTCATTAAAATATTAGCATATCCTTTACCAGTGCATTCCTTTCTTACGGTCATTTTAGCTAATTCACATACTCCGTTATGGATAACATCAGCAACAACACCTGTAACAACACCTCTACTATCTAGAATGAAGAATATTTCACCTCCAGGCTGTAAAATTGATTCCTCCGGTGAGCATAATTGTCTTGTATCACTTTCTTCTACCTCAAAAAATTGCTTCACCCAGGCAAGATTTAATTCTTTGAATTCTTCTTTATATTTAGCATCGTATGTAATAACAGTGGCCCTATCAATTACAATCTTTTCCTGCTTGTCGACAAGGTAATACACAGCTATGCATTTTTCCGGGAGAGCAAAATCCTTAAATTGATGTTCATCAGCCCAGCCATTTTCAGAGACGAATTCGCTCCAATCGACAATCTGACCACGCATTAAAGCATATTCTCTATAGGTTTGAATGGAAGGCATTGTGATTAAAGTCAAGTTTTTGTAGAAGAAAAGGGATATAAAAACAAACGAAGCTGGAGGAGGTCACTCTTTTATAAGGGGGGTAAAATAGACAAACAAAAGTTCAACTTCCGCCGTAAATCCGATATTACGGAACGAAAGGGTCAAACAAAGGTCACTCATAATCTTTAACCAAATAATGTCAGGGACAACAAAAACAATAAAGTTTGTCACATTATTCCGTGAGACAAAAGCTACCAGCGTCAATTGAAAGTTCATTGTATTGTTTTGATAAAATCCATATTTCTTTTTAAAGAAAGCCCTAATACAATTTTTATGTGACACAAGCCAAAATCATTGGCGCAGAGTAAATGTACAAAATATGTGTCATTTAAGCAATATGCTGAATTTGTCAGCCAAACTTTCAAAACAAACATAAAAAATACGAGCATAAACCTTTATTGATTATCCAAATTCAATTAAATAAATTAAAAATTACAATTTTAGTTGCATAACTAAATCAACTCTTGCAAAATGGCTATGGTCACGGAAAGGAATTTCTTTGAATCCATACTTCTGATAAAGCGTTACAGCAGGCGTCAGCTTACGTGCTGTATGCAAGTTCACGGCAGGGAAGTGTTTACTCTTCGCCCAAAGTATAGCTTCATGCATAAGAGGATGTGCATACCCTTTTCCGTTATAATCTTTTAAAACACCCATCTTTCCTAATTCAGCATCACCATCCGCTTCAACGATCATTGCTACTGTACCAACCGCTGTGCCCTGACCATTGATCAAGCAAAAAATCTCTCCACCCGGCTTGATGATTGAATCTTCAGGGTTATCTAACTGAAACAAATCTGCTGGCTCTACCGAAAAGTATTCACTCACCCATGCCACGCTAATTTTCTTAAAATCGGGCTGGTATTTGGGAGAGTAGGTGACCATGCATAATCTTTCCTTGATAATGTGTCGTTCCATATCAACGGAATAATAGATAGAAACACAATTGTCAGGCAGGTCGCTAACATTTGCTGTTTGTGCCCATATATTTTCAGTTTTAAAGTCTTCCCATTCAATAAATTGACCACGCACCATTACGTATTTTCTGACTGTTGAGTGAACCATATTTGCGTATTTATTTGCGTAAAAAAAAAGGGGGTAAAATTATTTGGACAGGTATTAGATATCTCTTAAAAAGCTAGGCAAAAAAAGTCCGACCACAGCCAAGCCTCTATCAGCGGCAATACGAATTTCTGTCGAATCAATTGTCAAGAGGGGAAATAATTCTTCCTCCAGACCTGTAATGTCATCATACCCTCCTTGCTCCGTAAAGTCGGGTGAGAGAACACAGAACAGAATCTAGTGTGTTAATGGAATCACTAACTTATTAAACCACCTATCCATGATACAGAACAAAACATTATATTCAAGTGTGTGGTTTCTACTGCTTCAGTACCAGACACCATTGTAGAACTTCAACCCGTACTCATCGACAATATGACTTTCTATGGAATATTTTTTATTGTAGTTAAGAAGGCTCCCACGACATTACATGAGATAAAAATGCTAAATGTTTGTATTAAATCTGATTGTATCGGGAACGTAGCTGTGGATATTCTTCCCAATCAACAGCAATATTTGAAAATATGAAAGAGAAAGGATATCACATAATTGGTTATTGTCAAAATTCAATATAAAATCTTAAGATTTGGTATGCTTATTGCAACGAATGGTTGACAACTTGTTAAAACATTCTCTTGTAGATGAAATGTTAGTGTCTCCAGAAATGTCAAAAAACCGTTTGAGAAGCGACATCTAAAGGTCGATCAATCAATCATGTCAAAATATATATATAAAAAAAATAAGAAAACTTACCAGATTGATTTTTTAATTTACAAAATCCAACTTATTCAAATTACAACAATTGAATACCCTTAATAGTTTGTCAAAATGTATAAAAGATCCAGAGAGGTCTGCAAATTTAGATGAAGATAACGAATTTTTCCTGTACTTCATATCCCATGTCATGAAACGTCACCAGAAATCATCGTACTTATTTGACACTGTTAAAGATTACTCTGAATGGGACTATGTTTTGAAGCTCTGTTCTCCCATCACGGAAGAATTGTTCGATAGCGTAGACACCCTGCGAATTAAATGGGGTGATACGGTCTTCGTACTTGCCAATGAAGATGGAACTACCGATCTTAAGATTGACATCCGTGTTATCTTGGATAAAGTCACACAAATGCTCAACGTTGAGTAGGATGTTTGCTTCGGTGAATTCTCCAAAACAAATCTAAGCAATTTAAAACACCCAGCTGATAAATGTAAAGTGATATTGAAGGTAAAATTATAGTCAATCAGCTTATCTGTCATTACGTCGATGTTTGTTATATTCCTGGGTTAGAAATCTGTGGTTCAGGGTTGCACATGAGATCTCACTGGTTGCGCCTTGGTTATATGTTGGTAATAAGCGGTGTTCTTTTCTTCGGTTAAAACATGAGACAATTTTAATATCATGTCTGGATTGATTGGAAGTCTTTTGAAGTTTAAGAGTGACTGTGTGAAAGTAGGTGACTTTCTTAAAGACCATTAAATCCCAATGGAGTATAAAAAAGACTTTTACAGCAGGTCCAAAGTACCAGAGAAACAACTCCAAGACAGTAGATAAGACCCTATGTTTTAAGTGAATCTCCCCTCCTTCAAGAACAAATGAATCGGTTGTATCAGAACATTTGGCTGACGATAACGTACTACACGTGGGGGGTTGTGCTGCGGTTGAAGCTTGTACAAGGTTTGGGTAATGATAAAAAAAGAGTTGTTTTTTTCGCGGCCAAAAATACACAAACACCATGCATTGTGTCATTATGATGTGTGGCTTTCATTTATCCTAAACTAAACTACCTGACTGGGCCCCTTAAGGTGTAAAACTTTGCACAGACAATTACACCACATTCCTTTAGAAAGCATTCATAGCATTAATTTAGAAATAATGCGCATTCAAATTTCCCAATATTTGTTTTTTTTTTTTCGATTTTACCCACTCCCTTTTCTTCTACATATAATCTTTCAGCATCGCAAAACTTCTTCCGAAATTTATATCCCTTAGTTGTTATAACCAGTAGGTACCTTCTGATAATACTTACAATATATGCCAAGTCTCGTTCTTGATTTCAACATACTTGACAGCCGAAATCACTGTAATGCATATAAGTCAATAAAAAATTGAATCAATATAATTATGTATAATTTATCAAGCATGTAAAGGAAATAAAATGAGGGGGAGAGTGAAATTGGAAGACAAAAAATCAGGATTAGCTTTTTTACTTGTCGGCTTGATTACGAGCCAAAGCAGCCTGAGCTTCAGGCGTAAACAAGCCACGGCCAGATAACAGGTCAACAAGAGGTCTGTGTGACATCCACCAAGCATCTAAAGGCTTACGGTTTTTCATATCTGTAACAGCAATCAATTCTTTTACGGAACGATATGTGACAGAGATACCCGATACACCTACTACAGCAGCAGATTCAGGTATACTACTTAACTCAACAGGGACGGGTTGGTTTTGTTCATGGGCATTTTCAAGAGCAGCAGAGGAATGCTCTTCAAAAAAGTCAATACTACACTTGGCGAGTCTTGTAGCTCTGATACGATCCATAGGACTAGGATTTACACCTTGTTGAATATGTCCCAATACAGCAGTACGTGAATCGAAAAGAGCATGTCCCTCATCCTTCAAGATATCTGAAATAACATCGGTTGTGTAGGTCTTACTGACAGTTTCGTTACGCAGAATGATTCTACCCTCTGATTTATCAGCAGCATCGTCCATATACATGGCCATAAGGTGGCGAGAATCGGATTGAAGACGAGAAAGATTCACACCTTCTTCAGGAATATAGATAGTACTGGCACCACTGGCCAAACCAGCTTCAACAGCCAAATAGCCAGAACGACCACCTTGTACCTCCACAACAAAAACACGACGACGTGATGAACGAGCCGATTGAACAATAGCATCGCAGGAGTCGACGATAGCATTTAAGGCAGTATCAGATCCCAGAGAGAAATCTGTACCAGGAACGTTGTTGGAAACGGTAGCAGATATTAACGCGATGGGGATGTTAAGGGAGGGGTATTTTGGACGGGCAGCTTCCAAGTTAATGACAGACGAGAATGCTTCAAAACCACCCACAACCAAAAGGGATTGAATGTTGAATTTTTGAAGCTGATACGCAATCATACCCATATCTACTGCTTCACCAGGAACAGCACGAGTAGTACCTAACTCGGAACCACCACGAGAAGTCCAACCATCCACACCAATCCACGACAACTCTTCAACAGAGCCAGCAGCCAAACCTGGAAAACCGTTAAGAATAGCGAAAGGTGTATGACCACGATTAAGAGCATAACGCACTGCAGTACGAGTTGCAGCATTCATACCACCGGCAGGAGCACCGACATTAATAATACCAACACGAAGACGACGATGAGGGGGGACGAGCATGGAATCATCGTCCAAAATTGTGGTCGCATTATAAGCAAGATATTCTTCAGCGAATTGGGGATCACGAAGTTCCATAGCACGAGCAAAATTCTTCTCACCAATTGCCTTGGCAACTTCGTGCGTGAGTTCAACAGCCTTCATTAAAGGTCCACTGGTAACCTCGTTAGCACTCATACCAATCATGGGAGAAGGTGTGTCGGGAGTGGAACGTAAAACAGCATCTACAGCTGCTACACTTTGAATAGTAGCTAAAATACGATCAAAAGCAGCAGGTGCACCACCACGTTGAGTATGACCAAGAGTAGTTACACGTGTATCGAGGCCAAGACGGTCAGTTAAAATGTCTTTGATATCTTCAGCCTTAATAGGATTCAAGTTTTTGTCAAGAGCACCTTCAGCAACAATCACTACGGTTTTTCTCTTACCGAGCTTACGATGACGATGAGCCACTGCACATAAGGTCTCTTGCCAGTCTTCTCCAGTAGGTGGTCTTTCTGGGATAAAAACGAAATCGGCACCGGTAGCAATACCAGCAGCTAGAGCCAACCAACCACAATGGCGACCCATCACCTCAATGACAAAAGCACGTGAATGAGATAGAGCTGTTGTACCAATAGAATCGACTGCTTCACAAATACGATGAAGAGAAGTTACAGCACCAATGGTGATATCAGTGGAAGACATATCGTTATCAATTGAGCCGACTAAACCAACAATGGTTAAGCTCGTATAAGAATTAGACTCGTCTTCAGTAATTCTATCTTGTTCCAAAAGTTCTGCAGTCAAACCACTCCACTCAGAACGGAAAACATCAGCACCAGTTAAGGAACCGTCACCACCACAGACGATCAATGCGTCAATACCACTCTTAATTAAGTTTTCAGCAGCCTGTAAACGACCTTCACGCGTTTTAAAAGGCATACATCTAGCTGTACCAATGGTAGTACCGCCCTATTTAATAAGAAAAATTAGCTTATCTCATCACGACCCCATTCCAAAAATAATAATAACTTACAACAGACAAATAACCACGCACACTCTTCCAATCCATCTTTTTAATACCATTATCGACAAGACCTTGATAACCCTCGTAAATAGCAAAAACATCACAACCCTTTGAAATACCATAACGTACAACTGCACGTACACAAGGATTCATGCCGGGTGCGTCACCACCAGATGTGAGTACACCAATTTTTTTACTGGGACCCATATTTTTGTGGGCTTCTTCAACAGAACCAGGACCACTTAGAGGAGTGTTTAAAAGGCTAGGAAAAGCAGGCTTATTTGCAAAGATCACAGTATTGTTTAATGGATCCAGGGTGTAAAGTTCGATCAATTGAAAGGTACCGCTGAATGACTTGATGGATCTATCTTGATAATCACATCCCAAAGTGTCCAACTGAGACTTAACGGCCTATGTTGATAATAACGAATGAATTAATCCATAACCCGAGAAAATTATTGTTTGTTGATATACTTACACCGACGTCGAATACAGATAAGGCTAAAGCGGATTCATTTAAACTCCAATCCATATCCTCGCTGGGTCTTGTTTTGGGCACACATCTCAAATTCAATATAAGACGAATGATTACATCCGAGGTCATGGCGTGCTCATTTGCTTCCATCTTTAACCAAGTCTCCTTATCGTCCTCTTTGTCAAGTTGGTTGGGAGCTGTTAATACCTTAAATCCAAACGCCTTGTAAAATTCAATAGTACGTTGGAAGAGTTCATCCGAACTGGCAACATAAACAATGTGAGAAAGACCTTTAACCATCTATGACGTGACTATTAGAAAAAAGTGAAATAAAGAGGGATGAAATAAGAGTTTTACCTTTTTTTTTAATTTTAATTTGTGAAAAAAGAAGAAATGGAAACTGGGAAATTTTGTTTCGGGTCTTTTTTACATGATTTTTCCGTGACTTCGAACTTTGTATTCAAAACAAAAAAACAAAAAATACCTCTCCGAACATAAAAAGTAAATAAAAGACGTGATGTTTTCATGCAAAAGAAAAGATAAATGAGCTGATTGTGTAGTTGAGTTTATTTTTTGGTGTACCACAAATATAATAATGACGTGTTTCAATGCTTTAACATGGGATTATCAATCCTTTTCTTTAGGTTACACATACGCTTCTCGTAAAGGTTACTTACTCACGTACCTGGGTCAATTTCTTGATGGTTACCTGAAAATCTGGCATTTACACTTCAATATAAAATTAGACTTCTATCAAACATGGCGAATACACGTTACAATTGGTCATTAAATTTAATTGGCGGTGCGCAAATTATTTTATTATAAGATAATTGCAAACCCATTAGCTGTAATATCGCCAAATTCGGGTTTGGTTGGAAGCAGCTTATAATTCCTGAATTTTATAACTACTTCTGCCATCCATGCGTTATCGCCTGTAAACACGATGTCAACCACTTTTCCATACCACACGAGTAAATTATATATTTCATATTTTTCGATTGGCTCTGGCATATCATGTACATAGTAATTCACCCTGATTTCATCCTCATCATCGTAATCCAAATCCGTTTCTGACCCGTCTGCATTCTTTATCCTATCCGAAAGATCATCTTCTTCCTCACTCAGATCTACCGAGTTCATCATTTCTTGTAATTGTTTCACATAGAGTAAACCGGCTTCTGGATCTGAAAAGGGTTGTACTTGTTTGACAGCTGAGCTGGATACTATTTTGTCAGCTATGGCATCTCCCAAAAAATTTAGTTGCGCGATTAAATAGCAAATGTCTTTGGGAAGAACATTTTGCATACAAGGTTCTTCTAGTAACTTTCCCATATCTGTACAAGGCCTTGAAGTGTAAGAATTAAAGGACACATCGTTTTCTAGGTGTGGTTGTGCCAGCATCAATTTTTTGACCACCTCCAATACGCCAGAGATATTAGGTGCATCTGGGGCACACCAATCTCCTGTCAGTGAATGACGGGGTTGATCCTCCCTGGTGGGTGTTAAATTTTCTTTCCTGACTGGTTCGATTATCGGCTCAGCGACTTGAGTTCCATTAAAAACTACCAAAGGTTCATCAAAGGAATAGGGAGTAAGCAAATCTGCCGTATGTATATTGTCAATATCTGAGTCGCTTCCAGTTAAGAAGTCAATAGGCTGATGAGATTCCGCTCTATATACATTTTCTATCTTTTCATTCAAATAACCAACAACTTTGTCTTGTTTACTAATCCTAGTTGATCTTGCAGCTGGCTGTCTTTGCTGAAATCGATATTCCATGGATTCAGTATCTACAGGGCGGAGTAGGTTGGAAGAAGGATCACATATATCGGAGAATCGATGACTGGCCTCGTTCAACAGTCTAGAAGCGCGTTGAAATTCTTGCAAAATAATGGTGGCGCCTACAATTGTACAAGATCTTGCGACATTTTTACTTATGATAAATGGGTCCTGAATGATAAACGGACTTTTGGTATGAACCAATTCTTCAGGCTTAAAGATGACACCGTCAGGTGTGATAATAGAGAGAGTAAAATTGACTGGTATAGAATAATATTGAAAGAAGCCTTTTAAGAGGGAGGAAATGGAATCTGTGTTTCTTCCTTCCCAAACGTTTGTGGCTCCTTTCACGGGTAAATCGTATTCAGAGGAGTTACGTATTTGAACACAATCGTGATACCGTGCGTCACATTTGATGATTTGGTGGTCTTGTAATAATGAAACATATTTTGATGTTTTGTAATTACAGGTACGTGACGAGCATTTGCTTTCAAGTCTTTGAAGACTAGGAATGACCGGATCAGGAAGGGCTGACATAAGATAGTGCAAGACCATAATCACATAAGCATAACTGCTCAATGTACCACCACGAGCTATAAATCATGCATTAGAAAAGAAATCTGACATATTTCATATAATGTGGTGCAACATACGGTTGTTGATGTTTTTCTGCTTTACAAATTGTTTAATAGCAAACACCAAGGGTCGGATTCGAGAGTCCATATTGCAGTATTTTTGAATCATTCCGGTATTTTCGATTCCCAAGATATTATTTGTATTAATATCGCATTGAAAACCTGTCTGAGGATCTACAAATTTACAAATAGGTACAGATGCATTGCCAATAGCTTCTACATTTTTCATTCCAATGTCTCTTAAACGTGATGCTAAAAAGAACATGTTGTAAACAGATTTTGGTTGTTTAGATAACCTGTTTTTGTAATGTTTTAAATCTTGTTCGAATTTCGCTTCAGGTACGACAATACAAAAGTCAACATCAGCATCATGCAAAGCTAGAGAATTTGCTGATGAACTTGTTTAGGAAGACGATTAGTTCCAAAAATGATAATCGCATAAATTGATTGTCATACCCAAAGATTGCAACTTTGTAGTCTAATCCTGGCCATACGTGGTTTAACATGGCTTGCACTCTCTTTTTGAGGAAATTCACATCTGTTACTGATTTTTGTGAAGGAGTTAATAACTATAGGGTATATAAAGAAGGGAGAGGGGATGTCAGTTCCAATCATTAATGAAAAGTTCCTTTTTCTAACTTTACACGACATAGTTTGGTGATCTCATTGGTAAGAGGATCCTGTCTACGTAGACCATCTTTTATGCTGCTGGTGTTAGGAATGGATATAATGGTATTTTCACGCACTGCACGTTCAACGCGTTCCTGTTCTTTGCGTTGTTTTTTATTCATCTGAGCCCTCTCTGCTTCATATCTACGCTTATCGTCCTTTGAATAAAATACAAATAGACTTGCAGATTCATGTGGTTTCCAAGTCAAGGGAGAGAAACATTTGTGATCATGACGTTTGTCATTGCTGTAGACATTCATCGTCATGATTTCAAAGTTCCAATTTTGCCAATTTTTGATCAATCCTGCACGTATTATTTCACGGCCTGCATTCTTGAGAAACAATTCCAACGATCTATAGCACTCGATGATTTTTTGGTAGGCGGAAGGATATGCTAACTTCAAATAGTTGTCGAGGGCAGCTATAAGTACCACACGAGCTGTAGTCGAATCGTTAGAGATGGAATTTTCTAAGGCGTAAATCCCACATTTCTCCAGAAATAAGACCTCCATTTGGTTACTCATTTTATTTGGCAAAAAGGAAAAAGAAAAAAGAAGAAAAAAAGCTTGGTTGGAGCGCCGATATCTTTTTATTTTATTTTTTTCAAGAAAAGCACACCTCTGAAAAGCTTAATCCATCATGCAGCATTTGTCCTGCACGACCAAATTTCTCTGTAATATCTTCAAGCGAAGTTTCTAAGCATTTTTTACTACAAAAAAAAAAGTTGATGAAATGTAACTTTGATATTAGTAGTTACTTACCCGATGTTTTTCTTGATGAAGAATGGATCCTGGATTACCACACAATCACCACTCCAAATGTTGTTCTTTTTGGTCTTTACCAATTGACCACCTTGGGTGATAATCGACACATTTTTGAACTTACTTGCATCTTTAAAGTACGTAAAGAAATGTTCCAAAAGAGATATCAAATGAAGATTGTTGTTACTCTCCCAAACAGAAAAGAATTTGCGTTCTCTTGTTGGCGTGTATTTATCCGTCAAGTTATTTTTAATCTCTAAACAAGTGTGAAATGAGCAATCAAAGCCTGTATCCAAAGACCCAGATTTTTGAAACACCATATGCTCATTGTCAAGTCGGCTGTAGCAGTTTCGTGCATGACAAGGCCCATCATACTCCTGTAAACAGGGAATAACAGGCCTTAATAAAACAGCCATCAAAAAGTGCAGTCCTAAAATAGTATACCCATATGAGCTGAGAAATCCATCATCGTCTATAAAGTAGTAAGTAATTGATGTATTCGCTTCATATTCTTTTTTTCTTACAGCTGTCGATTCCTTGGCAACGAGCAAATTTTTTGATACAATATATGAAAGGACCCACACGTTTATCCAATCTGACATATTCAGCGATCAATCTTCCAGTTTCCAGACCAAGGCCGTAATCCAATGAAAGTGTACAAGGTGTAGTAGATTTATCATCAAAAAAATTCACAAACGGCTGGTGAGAATTAATGTACGCTTTGATATATCGTAATTTTGTTTGCTTGCGAAGTTCCATTGCGATATAGCGCATATTAAAGATGGTTTTTGGGGAATTGCGTAAATCCACCATTCGATAATTGTAGGCTTCGACATACTGTTGAAGATATGCACGACTAACACGGATGCACAAATTTAGATCACTTTCAGTATTACCCAAGCCTGTCATTGTGGATCTAGTGATAGTACATCAGGTTAATGCTATGTTTCTGAACATGCGAGATAATTAACTCTACCCAATAATCTCGATAAATAAAGGTGCATTAGGAAATAAAGCAGTTAAAATACTTTTGATTCTGTCCCGAATTTCCACCCGAGTTTTCAGTGTATTGCCGTTGATTCTGGCGTTCTAGACCTTGATTTAATATCCTATGATATGTCATTTTCCTATCTGTCTATATTTCTTACCTGATATGCATTGATCAGATTATCTGACTCTCCTGCCTGCTTCTGAGGAAGTGCAGCCTTTTTTTTATTGCTGATCTCTCGGCATCATAGGCTGTTTTATCTTGTTTTAGATAAGTGACAAACACAAGGTCTGTATCAAGCTCATGTCTTGCTTCATACAAAGGGGTGAAGTAGTTATGAGCGTGTCTCAAGTCATTGTCATATCTGTGAATAGGCATAATTTCGTAGTTCCATGCATTCCAATTTCTGTTGGCGTAAGTCCGAATATTATATCTACCCTTATTCTTAAGATAAGTGAGCAAATTGCCATGCTCTTCCCGCATCGCCCAGAATAACTCTTCGTCGCGCTCATACAAGTGTTCGACCAATTTATCAAAATAAACTACACGAGCAATTTTCTCATCGCCATCATGGCGGGACCTCGAGTTGCCATAAGCAAATTGGAAGCAAATGTCCAATATGTCAAGTTCATCGTTTATGTTCATTTTAAAAGTAAAAGAAGGAAGGTATTTCCGCCCTGAGTTTCAAGTACCTTTGTGGTTGAAGGACGGTCACACGAGTCTAAAAAAAGAAGTGCCCTTTTTTGGACCCATGCTTCCTATCCTGTTCTCGTTTACATGTTTTTATTCAATCGATTGAGTCGATATCCTCAACAGACCGGGCTAACATTAGCACGATGCAATCGAACACACATGCTACGCATGTCGACCAAAAATGAACCAAAATCAACGGTTGGTCGTAACCGATCCACAAAGTTAAAGCGTAAACTACCAGTTTTACCAGGTAAAGAAAAAATAAAAACGATATCGAAAAGAATTGTATTTTTTACATGCCATGATTCAATTTAGAGTCATTTTTGTCAACAAACTATATCCGACACGATAAAGCAACACCATTACCCGACCAATACACCTCGTTTATTCCAGACTATGTATGGAAGGAGCTTGTATGCGCAGTTCGTTCAGGATTGATTAGAAAAGGATTTATGGCATCGTATAACCACACAGATCATTTAGCACTGAGTGTTCCAAATAGAGGAGCATGTTATTTTCTTGACCACATTGTCCACAAATTGGCTGCGGAAACGAAAGCTGACGTACTAGTACTTGATCCTCAAGATTTTGTATTTTTAGCACAACATAGTTTCAGTAGAGATGGTAACACCCTGGGACGAAGTAGATTAATGTGTTTGTTATTGACTGTTTATTTCCTTTTAATGTAGCTGCCACGATATTACCGTTATTATCATCCATTGACCCAGAATCAAATGCATTATTGGCACTTGGACAAAATGACGGCGATTCAAATATGGATGATGAGGATGAGAGTATTATCGATAAAGCAGAAGGTGGAGGAGCAGTTGAAAAGTTTAAAAAAGATGAAGATGAGGAGAGCGAAGAAGAATCCTATGAGGACGAGGAAGAGGACGAGGAAGCAGCAAAGATTCATAATTCCAGAACGGTGGAATTGGATCTAGCAGATTTGTTCGATGAAACCAGCGATAAAGATAATGAGATACATAAGGTATCTAAAGCTGTGTTAAACCAGGTGTCTACCAAATACACACACATGTTTAAGCATCTGTTGGCGGCTTCGGAAGGCGAAAAGATAATTTATTTGCGAGACTTTGGTGCCATGAAGGATGCATTTACGAGAATTATGTTAAAGTCGTTAGTAACGGCGGTAGAGGAATTAAGACAAAAGGGACAGAAGGTCATGATTGTAGCCTCTCATTGTAATACCAATCAAAATGAAAATTACTACATTCCAGCTATCGCTAATATGCGTCGTATTTCTGTACTCCCATTACTGCAGGATGAGGTTCATTTAAATGATTGGAAGACAGTCATGAAGAGCGATGAAGAAAGGAGAATTACCGAAATTAATGCTAAACAACTGTTAGCCATGTACAGTCAAAAGAGTCCGTTAGATATCGAAAGAAGCCAGGACTTGCTAAAAGACTTGTTGGGGTTAAATAATATTTCCAAATCCATCTGGTCACCCAGTGATGTAGATCGACGTGTGACAACCGCTATAGGTCATGCCCTTGAGCACAACAAGACAGACTTGGATTTCGAGGATTTTAAGGTCGCTCACGGTATAGTTGAACAAGTGTCCGATCTTAAAGAGAAAACATGGAAGCAATTCAAAAATATTGGTACTCCCCTTGTATTGCAAAAGGACGGGAGTGTTGATATGAATGTCTTGAAAAGAAGTTGTAATGAATACGAAAAGAAACTTTTAGGAAGAATGGTAGACCCCTGTAAGTGATAGTATAAATATTAAAGATAGCTGGCACACTGACATAAAAAAAAGCCAAAGTCCAAGGTTCTTTCAAAGACGTTCGTGCACCACCTCTTACAATAGATAGTCTTCAGTCACTGATTTCGTTACCGTTGATTCGTCCAGATCTGTTTAAAAAGGGCATTTTAAAGAAAAACTTTATTCCTGGTGTATTGTTATTCGGGCCGCCTGGTACAGGAAAGGTTTGGGTTGCACACTTGTTTTATTATCATTATTTTTATTTATTTTATAATAGACTATGTTGGCAAAAGCAGTAGCAAAAGATAGTGGGAGTCGGATGCTTGATATTCAAGCAAGTGATGTGTAAAGTCACACAAACATTTCACATGTTCATTTCTAACACTTAGTTTTAAATAGATATGATATGTACGTTGGGCAGGGCGAAAAGAATGTGAAGGCAGTGTTTTCTTTAGCGAGGAAGCTCTCACCCTGTGTTGTATTTATCGACGAAGTTGATAGTTTAATGAACAAACGCGGTTCAGATTATTCTTCTAAATCTCACCGAGAAATTATTAATCAGTTTATGGTTGAATGGGATGGTTTATCTAGTAATAATCAAGGTGTCATTGTTATGGCAGCAACTAACAGGCCATTTGACTTGGATGATGCAGTGCTGAGACGTATGCCTAGACGCATTTTAGGTAACTTTTTATTTATGTTTATGTGTTTACTTGTTTACTTATAACAAATGTAGTCGACTTGCCTAATGTGGAAGATCGTGCAGAGATATTAAACATTTTGTTAAAGGACGAAGAACACCAAATATCAGTAGAAGAACTAGCCAAAAAAACGGAACATTACTCGGGTTCGGATTTGAAAAATGTATGTGTGACAGCAGCTCTCACCGCCGTCCAACAGCAAGTGAAGACAAATATGTCTCAGTCTTTGAATATGGATCATTTCAATACCGCTTTAAAAATGGTCCCACCTAGTTCTAGTGAAGAAATGGATTCTTTGATAGAAATCAGAAAATGGGACGCTAAATTTGGTGATGGCAAGAAGAAGAAGAAATCTAACATTGGCTTTTCAGATTAGTTTAAATCATGTGGGTTTTCCTTTGCCCCCTTCGGATCTTGAAAAATTAATCCCATCATTTTTGGCCTTTAAAGCAAGACCTTTTTCTTTTTTGTCTTTTTTCTTCTTTTTTTTCTTACTGTACACAAAAACATTCCCTCCTCTTCCTCCTCAATCAACCCCCTTTTTTTTTCTTGTAATTATATATATATATACAATATGATGGTAATAGATTTAGAATGCTAAAATTAAAATACAAAAAAGTAATAAAAAGTATATTGTAGAACCACGGTGATATTTCAAATACGGATCACATAACAAAAAGACATCGTCGTCATACTATTGCTCGCCCAGCTTCTGCCCTGGCATTGGTATCAGACTCTTCCTCGTCAGAAGATGAAGATGATAACCAATTTGATCGAATTTCCGACATTTTATCAAATTTAATTCAAGAAGCGAACGAAGCTGTCAATCATGATAATAACAAAGTCAGTACGCCTGGTAGTATTCCTTTAATAAGAAAGTTATCTTCTTCCGCAGCGGTGGAACAACCAAAAAGAGTACACAGAAGCAGGCCCGTCTCATATCCTTCTTCTTCTTCTCTGATATCAGCTAGAAGACGTTCTTCTGCAACAACAGTGATAGTACCAAGACCTTCTCATACAAATATATCAAGATCATCCGCCATGACAAGACAAAAGAGTGGATCGGTGTTATTAGAATCCTTCAAGCGGCTGGATTCTTCCATGGCAATGATCGACTCATTATCTCGTGATTTGGTTCCTGAAAAAAAAATAAAGGCAGCTACCTCATTCGATAGTCGCCTGTCTGCTCTACTCTTATTACCGCTCCTTCATGTACCTCATGCCTTAATATCAATGGTGTTTGATACAATGTCATCAACAGAATTGTATAATAATAACAACAATACACTAGGTGGTATGGTGGTATGGGCCTTTGTGTTTGCCATCACAAATCTTGTCGTTGATAAAGCGGTCATCTCACCCAGTAACACTAGTCCCATACCAACTAAGTTATTACCAGGTACATTTGAACAAGAAATGAGCAAAACAAACAAAAGGAGACCTAAGTCCAAGAAAAGAAATAGTCAAAAGCAACCATTTTATTTTCAACAACAGCAGCCACATGCTGCATGTATGCATAGTGGAATTAATTTGCTTGAAAGAAAGCCTCTTGCAAGAAGAAATTCACTTTGATCATTTTTATTTACTCTTTTTTTTTTTTTTTACTTTTTTTTTATAAACATATGCTATATTATTTACCTTTTCACTCTGCATTATCTGGGCTCTTTATCTCTTTTTTTGGATATGAAAAACACACTATACATGTGAAGAAACTATAAAGTCGTGTATTACCCTCGTACAATGATGATTTTTAAACAAACCCCCAGGTACCAAATAACTATTGCATTACAATCACGGACCGAGTTTATATTTTAGAGCAATTACTCTTTTAGTATCATCGCCTCTTGACAAACAACTTTTGGAGAATTGATCAACATGCAGGGCTACTCCCTATAGATGTGTAACTTTTTTTTCCATTCTCCACTTGTTTAACATTATATCTTGTTTTGGGAATTAAAGCTGTGTGGCACCTAAAACCTGAATTCATGGGATCAGAAACAGTGCAATCATGATCATATTAATTTCTCTTACCCAAACGGCTAATAATGAGAGGTGACTTTTTTAATTTTAATGCACAATCATAATTTAACGTTTATTCAAGGAATGCACATTAGTGGGTTAAGGACAGTGCAGAACTTGTCAATCTTGTTTTGTATTACCGTTTAATTTACCACCTGACTCGTTCACCCCACTAATTTTTATAAGACGCGATTACGTGTTTTCTTGGATAATAATCTTGTGATTAATTTAAGTATAAAAAAAAGGGTAAACAAAACATTCTTTTTCTAGATATACTACACTTGACACTGTATTACACACTTTAAGAAGTACAAATACATATCATGCGCGCGAACTGAGTGTCATTTTCTACGGCTGTGTCTTTTTCCGGGTTCGAAAAAGCTTATTACTTGGGTTTAATCGTACCTTTTTTTTTTTCCTGCGAAAATGAATCGGAGTCGAAGCTGCACAGCTGGCGCAGATTTGATTACGGAGTCTCTGGTATGAGAACATACGATTTCTGACAGATCCGTTTCCGTAGGCGGCCAAAAAAAAGAAGCCGTTATCAGTATTAGTATTAATGAAAGTTAAAAGAATTCATCTTGTTTTTGACTCCCCCCATATTTGCTCTCTCCTAAGACGGGGCTCCCTTTAAAAAGCAAGCACCGGAATCGTTGCGGAACAGTTTGGTGGCGGCAGGAGATGCAATTCTAAGAGCGATAACTTTAAAAACTGACAGTTTAGTTGAGGTTTGCAATGTTAGCCTAAATCCCAACCATAAGAATAATCTAGTTTAGAAGGGTGTATAGTATCGTTTAAAGGTAGCGGACGAGTATGTATACAGCTTAAAAAGCGAGCCTTTACTCTGTAAGTATTTATATAAATCACTAAAGTACCTGGAAATATCCTGTACACCCCGCCGTCCGACTTTAATGTTGCAAGCACAATAGCGGATACTATTTGCAAGTGCAGTCAATTTGATAAATGTTAGCTGTTTTTGCGACGCATTGTGCTAAAAGTTGAAGACATGATAAAGTTGATAAATGAATTCCCAAAGATTTCACAAGCCTATTAAATGTATTCATAACAAAAAAATAAACTGAAAAAAATAAGGTTGTTGAAGTTGAAGCTTTTTAACCGGAGGCAAAAAGGTGCAAGTCATCAGTCAGTTTAGATGGTCCCCTTAAGTTTTTGCTAATATTATATCTAGCAAAATGAATTTACGAAGAAGAGGTTTCTTAGGCCGCTTTAATTGATGTATTTTGGGGCTCATTTGTTTATAAATTAAAAACTGTCAATAATGTATAAATAATGACAGAGACTTTGCATCATTTTTTTTAAGTGAAGAGTTACATTAGTGTAATCTAAAAATGGCAGATTGAGCAGTATATAAGAATACATGTATTTTAGCAAACAGAAATAATTAACCTGTTACTATGCAACTTATTATCATGACAGTCATTTACAAGTGATTTTGGGTATCACTCATATATTATAATTAAAACAAAAAAATAAAAAAATTTGATTGTGTCAACGGTTTGATTTTAAAATCATTGATGTACAGTCTTCCCAATCAGACAGGATTTAGGAAAAGCTAAGGGATAGTTATATTTGCCCAAACTATAAATATCATACTGCTCTTCTTTTATTCGTATAAAGAACGGTTTTGGATTTCTATTTTATCTGATCAACAATGCTATTAAGGCTCGTTTACAAGGTTGATTTCCAACTCTTACCTATTTTCTGCGCCTTTTATTTCTTGAGTTCTTTAGAGAGGTTTGGAAATAGAAACTTGATCAAACTATAAATCCAACTTACCTTAGTATCCATAATTAGATCAAGTCTGGATTTTTCGGTCATCAGCGGCCTTACAGCAGACTTAAACATCACAACCACAGAGTCACAATGCTTTGCAGCAGCATTTTACTTTTGTGTGATTATTTTTGATGTACCCTCCAATATCATTATAAGATGCTGGAAGCCATCTTTTTGGTTGGGGATTATAATGGGGTAAAAATTAATTGGGGTCTACCTAAAGAAAATTTTAGTACGTGATTTACTAAAAAAAAAAGGGTTATTCTCAGCGTCTGGGGTATTATGTCCATATCGATGGCGGCCTGTACTCATTTCCACGGCCTTGTGATAGCCAGACTGATTATCAGCATTTGTGAAGCAGGGTTTTTTCCCAGTGCTGTGTACTATTTGTCATTTTGGTATACGAGAAGAGAATTCGGAAAACGATTAGGGTGTTTATGGTCATTCCGATGCTTAGCAGGTGCTTCAGGAGGATTGTTTGCTTATGGTGTGAGCTGTATAACAATTACAAAACATATGCATGTATGGCAATGGTATATGATAACACAAATATTTCTATTTTCTCTTTTTTTTAATTTTTTATTTATTTATGCTCGTATACTATCATAACAGGACGTTTATTATACAGGGAAGCCCCTGCGTTATAATTGCATTAATCATATCGTGGTACCTACCTAATGATGTAAAAACTGCAAAATTTTTGGTCGTACAAGAGCAGAACATAATTATGCAAAAGCTAAAAGATGGTATGCAAAAATGACATACATGTTTATCATCAACAGACCTGAAATAACAAAATTATTATAGATGTGGGTATATTGAATTATAAGGACTGGTCATGGGATCAGTTTGGAACGGTTCTGTTGGACTCAAAAACATATGCGTTCACCCTAATATATTTATTAGGTGCAGCTTCTGTACAAGGAGTTACCTTATTTTTGCCTACTGCTATATCCAGATTTCATTTTGCAAAATCATCAGTCCTACATACTCAGCTTCTGATGATGCCTCCTTATATCTTGGCCATATTTATATCAATGTCCGTATCATATAGCTCTGGTAATGTAAGGTTGTGAACAACAAACCTATTTAAGCTCTATTTCCTTTGTCTTTAACAATCCACTGTCTCAGATCGTTATTATGAACGATCATATCATCTCATAGGCACCAATGTTGTATCTATGGCTGCACTTATAGTTCTGCTGCTACCTATCCCTTGTATATATACTGGCTACATAACCACATGTATTCTCACAGCAACTGTTTATGCGCATGTTCCCATCAAAGTTACTTGGATAACAAATAACTTGTAAGGAGAATTTAAAGAAAGAAAAAATAGATCAAACTAAAATTAGAGTTTTTAGCACGGGGTTTACTAGAAGAACGGTTGCTTTAGGTGTGATAATTTCTCTGGGATCTGTGGGTAGTGCGATAGGTAGCCAAGTTTTTTATGGTAAAATTGAATTGAAGAACACATAAAAATAAGGTGCTTATAAAATTATTGCTTAGATCCACCAAACTACATGAAAGGAAAAGCACTGATTCTTGTTTTTTTGGTTCTTCAAAGTCTAATGATTTTGTTGACAAGATATTGCTTTGATCGGGAAAACATGCGACGAAAGAAACTGGGAATGGACGATAAAGCATTTCAAGCATACAAGTACAACGGAGAAGATTTAGCAGGAGATAGACATCCTGATTTTAGATACACCATTTAAAGTTTTGAATTTTTTTTTATTTTTTTTCATGAATAAGAAAAAAAAAAGGCATATGAACAAAAGTTGTAGTAAAAATATTAAAATGTAAATGGGGGTAGAAAAAAAAAGCGAAAAAGGGCGAATTTGGGATAAAAGTAGTTTTTTTAAAAAAAAAGAAGGTGTCTATATTACATGTCGGATTAGAGAAAGAAAGGGGAACAGCAAACAGATTATTCGTCTGATCTCGACTCTTCTTTCTCCTTGGGTTCAACAAGATGAGGTTCAACATGTTGGGCTTCGGCTCGGTACTGAGGTTCGACATGATATTGACGTTCGGAGTGATGGGCTTCTATATGATACGGACGGTCAGTATGATGAGGTTCAACTACTCGTTGATATTGACGTTCTGCATATTGTGGTTCCACATGATATTGTGCTTCAACATGACGAGGTTGAGCATGATATTGAGGTTCAATATGACGTGCCTGAGCATGATATTGAGATTCAATATGTCGGCTTTCGCCTTGATACTGGGGCTCAGTACGACGAACTTCAGATTGATATTGAGGTTCGGAACGACGAATCTCGGATTGATAATGACCTTCTGCGTGTCTGGGTTCAGCATGGCGCACTTCCGTTTGATACTGAGCTTCGGCGTGGCGAGGTTCCGCATGACGAACTTCGGAGTGGTATTGAGGCTCAACATGACGAGGATCAGCAGCATGACGAGTTTCGGCAGCATAACGAGGCTCAGCAGCATAACGAGCTTCAGCAACATGGTGAGTTTCAGGAGCATGGTGAGCTTCAGTAATATGACGAGGTTCAGGAAGATGGCGAGCTTCAGCAACGTGGTGAGGTTCAGCAACATGGCGAGCTTCAGCAACATGGTGAGGTTCAGCAACATGGTGAGGTTCAGCGACATGGTGAGGTTCTGCGACATGGTGAGGTTCTGCAACATGGTGAGGCTCAGCAACATAGCGAGGTTCAAGAACCTGGTGAGGTTCAGCAGTACGGTGAGGTTCAGCAACATGACGAGATTCATTGATATGACGAGGATCAGTATGATAATGGGTTTCAATACGAGATTGTTCAGCAGCTTGAGGTTCAGCGTGAGTTTGGGGACGACGAACTTCTTCATGACGATATTCAGCACGATATTGATATGGGTGTTCGGCACGGCTTTCTGCATAGTATTGTCTAGCTTGATGAACTTCTTCTTGAGGTTTTTTAGAAATGTCATCTGCAGCAGGCGATGGTGCATTTCCTTCCTCCTCTTCCTCTTCTTCCTCCTCATCTTCATCCATTTCCTCCTCACTCAACAAATCTTCATTCTTCATAGGATCCGTTGTCTTGATCTTTTTTCTACTATCTGTACCGGCGGTTGACTTACGCTTTCTAGTTTGGCGAATAGTCAAAGGTTTAGGGTTTAAAACTAAATCACAAAGAGAGTCAATACGACGGGCAACAACAAGATCCCGAGGCCAGACAAATCTACTATCAGATTTATTTTCATCATCATCTCCTTCGGTTTCATCACCGTCTTCGATTAGCGCTTGCTTCACATGATAAAATGGTAATTCGGGGTCTTCTACAATTAAATCAGTGCGACCGATTCCGTGTTTACAAATGGCTTCCAACAATGCTTTATCATGCTTAGGAACTTCCCACCAACTAAAAAAAAAAAAAAAAAAAAAAAGTGAGTCTTTTCTTCTCTAAATCATATTTTTCTTGTTTTATCGTCTTACGTCGGTAAACCAGAAGTCTTTCTAGCTTTAAGCAAAAGGGTATCGAGGTCAGGATGTATAATCACCTTTTCACGAATGGTATTCATTTGTTCAATACGCTTCAATGCACGACGTGCCTTGTCATAGGGCACAACATTATCAGTATCATCCTTGAAACTATCATTCAATTCAACACTAGACTCACGACTGGCAGCATCCATGTGATCCTTTGGAGAAGAGACAGGTGTTTCCATATCTGCACCGGCAGCAGGAGCGATTTGGCCACCTTCACTTAAATAACGCTTCACGGCTTCTTCACAAGCAGCATGAGTATCCCGATAATGAAGAGTTAAAGAATCATCCGTCTTCTTTTCGAGACCAGCAATTTCCTTGAAACGGGACCAATTGAAATCATCTTCATCACGTTCTACACCAAATGACATTAAGGTCTTTAAGAAATCACTCTTGTTTTTCTTAGTCCAGCGATTAGAGACTTCGTTTTGTTTTGAGCGTTGTCTTTGTGCAGCGCGGGATTCCTTTTGGCGTTGACGGGATTGACGGTCGTTTTCCTTCTTTTCAACCTTTTCTTGTAACTTTCTCTTGCGAGTACTATTGGCTCTTTCTCTCAAGAAGGCGGCAATGATACGACGAAGACGCATACCAATGTCTGCCTTAGAAGGCCAGACATACACCTTTTGCTTACCATCATATTCCTCGTCATCGGAATAATCCTTATCGTGTTTATCCTCGTAATCACTATCTTCGTCACGCTTAAGAATATTCTTTTTGGGAGTAAGTGGAGTAGGTTCTAAAGAAGTTTGTCGACTACTGTTATCCGCGTCATCATTCTTGTCGGTGGAAGGAGCGGCATCATCATCCTCTAAGACACCGGACTGACTATCATCATACTTACGACCATAGAAGGTGAATTCGGGATCATTACGCATAGCCAAGTATTGTTGATAACCATGTTTACAAATACCCAACAAAAGACAGCGATCTTCATTCTCACCCCACCAAGGAGCAGGAGGGGAACCAGTTACCTTTGGCATTTCCAATGCCTTTGCCTCTTCCCAATCGGTCGGCACGATTTTATCACGGATCAAATGAAGCATTTGAATACGAAGCAAGAAGTTTCGACCCTTACGCTCAATATGATCGATATAATCTTCAGGAGCCTGAATTAAGAAGGATCTAAATTCAGCAATTTGTTTCTTCGTAGCACCGATATAAGGTACGGTTTCGTTTTTCTTGACCTCATCACGTGCGTCATTTATGAGAATATTCTTAATATCTTGAACCAATTTACGATCTTCTTCTGTCGTTTTCTTCACATTTTCAAGTGTAGGTAAGACTTTACGCATCAAAGCACGTGTGACAGCCTTCAGATCCTTTTCGGTACGACGAGGGAAATGTGCCACCATCAGGTCCCAACTTCCATAACCATAAATCATCAACTTGCGTTCATATTTCGTCTTTTCGGATAAGGTCCAGGGTCTGATTTGATCGCTACGTCCACCACCGCGACGCAAAGAAGCCTTTGGCTCGGCCTCTTCTTCGTAGGCAGCATCCGAATCGTCTGCATTGTCATTAGAAGAATAAGATCCGTCAGCAGGACGAGTACCAAAACGTTGTACTTGGCGACGTTTACGAGGCAAAGATACAATCAATGTATTTTCATCGGGTAATTCGGTAGTATCAATATGTGCTTTAGCAGCCCACTTTTCCCAGAAATCAGGATCATCTAAATCAACACCAATGTTATCGTCATCTACAGCAGCAGAGAAAGTAGCCTTGGAGAAAACAGAGCCCTTTTCGTTGCCTTCATGTTTAATGACAGTTGTACGACGTTCAAGGATCTGGTCGATATCTTCTTCACAGAATTTTGCACTTGCTTCATCATCCAACATGGCGCCATAAGCACCCTTCTTTAAAAGATCCTCAATTTCTTTTCGACCCAATTCAGTGGTCTTGTTTGCGTTACCATCATCGTGCGTGCCCATAACGGCTTTATCAAGACCTAATTTCATACCAGCACGATCGAACATGTCCTTCTCGTAAGTATTAGCACAAATCAGACGGTATATTTGAACGGGTTTTGTTTGACCAATACGATGACAACGGGCTTGTGCTTGTAAATCATTTTGAGGGTTCCAATCACTATCAAAGATAATACAGGTATCTGCAGCAGTCAAGTTAATACCTACACCACCAGCACGGGTACAGAGTAAAAAAACAAAGGATTCTTCAATAGGTAAAGTCGAGAATCGATCAATAGCAGCTTGACGTTGATCACCAGGAACACTACCGTCAATACGCTCATACGCATAACTACGACCACGAAGGTAATCTGCCAGGATATCCAAACAACTATAATAATTAAAACAGATTTTCAGCGTTAGACAACAAACATACATATTATTCAACTTTTTCTTTCTCTTACCTTGTGAATTGAGAAAAGATTAAAACCTTGTGGTTACCTTGAATCAATTTTCTCAAAAGTTTATCGATCAAGACCAATTTACCAGAAGATTGGACTAGACAGTTAAATTGTTCTTGTTGACCAGTAGCGTTACATTCGGAAACAATCACATCTTCAGCACCTTCCAAAAGATAGGGATGGATACAACATTTACGAAGTTGCATCATAATGTTACGAAGGTGAGGCATTTCCTTGTTGGCTGTTGACAACGAAAAAGTTAGTACGGTAAAAGACTAGAATGACCAGGAAAAAATCTTACTTTTAGATCCCTTTTTCAAGAAACTGAAATTCTTTTCAAGAATAGCCCTGTACCATTTCTTTTGAGGGTTGGTCAATTCAACTTCAATAACAGTTTCCTCCTTGACAGGAATTGTCTTTTCAACATCTTCCTTGAAACGTCTCAACATGATGGGTTGTAATAAGGCTTGTAATTTCTCGACTTCATGAGCTGTCTTCAATGATCCATATTCAGAAAAGAAGTAAGCTTCGTCATTGTATATGTCAGGTTGCATGAATTGAAGCAAACTATATAGTTCACCTAAATTATTTTGCAAGGGAGTACCTAATCAAAAAGAAGAAGAAAAAAAATTAATACATATACCAAAATATCCCATATGTGTGTCAATTTACCCGTCAATAACAACTTGTGATCCATGTAAAAAGTTCTCAAGATTTCCAAGACCTTGGAATTCTTGTTTTTTAAACGATGCGCTTCGTCAAAAACACCACAACGCCATGGAATATCCTTCAATGTCATTGCACCAGCAGAGGCCATTTCATAGGTTGTAATCAGCACATCAAATTTATATTTGCCGGGAATGATATTGCCCTCAATGTCTTGGTAATGGAACTCAGTTTCAACGATCAAGTTACGAGCCATGGTACTTCCACGGAAATCGATCACATTCAAGTCAGTCCAAGCATTAAATGCACGAGTCCAATGAGGAATGGTGGATAAAGGAGCAATGATTAAAAATGGACCACGAATATGAAGGTTGTTGTAGATGTCGTTTAAGAGAGCAACGGATTGAACAGTTTTACCCAGACCCATTTCATCAGCCAAAATACAGGATCTAAAAGTATAGTAGCAGTATCTCAACCAGTTGAGACCTTCTAACTGATATGGACGTAATGTATTGTTGTATTTGTATGGAGGTGATACAGCATAATGAGTAAATTGGGTGACATCAGGACGAGGAGGACAAGGACCAGCCTTCTCTGGAGGAATGATCTTTCTAGAGATAAATTCATCTAATAGGACGCTATCACATTTTCTCACATCTTCTTCCGTCTCCCAAGTAGAAGCATCATAAAATGAATTATTCCATTTCACAAGATAATATACTCTACTTTCACCGGTATGAGGATCTTCTAATTCACCATCATCGATGACACGATCCATCTTTAAATAGTCTTTGAAATCTTCTCCCTTCTCGCCTTCTGCATAATACTTTTGTAAAAACTTTTTGACACGGTGCTTCCCTAAATGTTCAGATTCAATCTGCTTCAGTGGCACCCATTCCACATGAAGGAAACTTGTGTTTTTGTACTTGATTAAAAGCTCTTCTTGTCCGGTCTCCGCATTTTTTCGATAATTTAAGATGCGTTCAAAGACACCCGTGCCCATCGGAATCATGACAGGCTCTTCGGGTTCAGCCACTGCCTGTCCCTTCTTCTTTGACTTTTCTCCGCCATCACTATCATCAAATTCACTATCAGCGCCATTATCTGACTCTTCAGATTCAAGATCCTAATGTTTCAAGGAAAAGAGAACTTCGCGTCAGTACCAAAAAAAAAAAAAAAAAAAAAAAAAAAGAAGAGAGACTACATATACAGTGAATTTGCTACTTACAAAGTCTTCTTCTTCGTCTGAAGAAGCATCGTAAACACGTTTCTTCTTTGCTGCGTTTCTTGAAGGTCTCTTGGGTCTCTGTTGCTGTTCAGCCAAGTGACGTTGTTGTAATTGTTGTTGCTGGTGCAAATGTTGCTGCAGCTGAATTTGATGTTGTTGCTGCATTTGATGTTGCATCATTAATTGCTGCTGCTGATTAGGATGAGGTTGTAAATTGTGGAAGCGTTGATCATAGCCACCTTGCTGATGCTGGTGTTGTTGATGTTGATGTTGCTGCTGCTGCATCATCAATTGTCGTTGCATCTGTTGACGTTGCAACTGCTGTTGGTAGGCTTGTAATGCTTGGGGGGACAGCTGTTGTTGTTGCTGCGGGGTAGGATAAGGCCGTCCCTGCTGCTGCTGTTGTTGGCTATACCCAGCGACAAATTGAGGTCTCATTTGTTGTGGTTGTTGTGGGGATTGCATTTGGCTCATCATGGAGTTTGAATACATGGCCTGACGATTCACAATGGGAGAAGTATTATTTACTAACATTGGAGAAATCTGTTGTTGTGGCGAGGGTTGAGCTGGGACGGGAGGTCTTTGATAAGCATTGAAAGCGGCAGGATTATTAGCAGGGTTATAGTTTAGCTGTTGCTGCTGCTGCTGCTGTTGCTGTTGCTGCTGTGCCCTTAAGTAATTCAACTGCTGCTGTTGAAGTTGTTGAGGAGTAGCCTGTTGAGGAGAACGCTGCTGCTGAAGAAACTGCTGTTGCTGATAAAAGAAGTTTGGGTCCACGTTAGCGTTGTAACCTTGGGTAGGTTGTTGTAAATTTATCATATTTGGGTTCGTTGACGGTTGTTGCTGCTGTTGAGGTGGCAACGGTTGTTGTTGTGGTTGATTCGGGCTATTCATTGAATAAGCTGAATTTGACATAAAGTTCTGAAAACCATCTCTTTGTTGGGCCATAGTGAAAAAAAAAGTCTCCGTATAATTCGAACTTTTTTTCCCCCTTTAATAACAAATCTTTTCTTGAAAGAAGGAAATTTTCTCCTAAACGTTTTAAAAAAAAATTATATATATTGAATATACAAAGAGCGTTAAAGAAGGGAAAAAAGTTTTCAGCTTTTTTTTTTTTTTTTTTTTTTTTTTTTTTTTTGTGGATTATTAAACAAGCGTCTTTATTATTGGTTCGTGTTTTATACTTCGCGTCCAAAAGAGTTGACGTGTTGTACCAATACTTGTTTAAAAAAAAAAAAACTTACCAAGTGTATTTTCTTTCTTTTTTTAAAAAAAAGTATTCTTTTTTTCAAAAGCTTTCTTTTTCGTTATATGAACGGCTCAAATAGAAAAACAAAAGAGAATAAAGAATATAAACAATTTACCTTAATTTTTTTGTCTAAAAATTTTTTTTTATCCAACCCCAGTCGTGCAAAACGGTGGCGTTTGGATTAAATCTATTGATTCCCCGAGATGTAAAATTCTGACCCCTTGGTTTTTTCTTTCTTTCCATAAATCCTCTCGCATTCCATATAAGCTATTACAGCAATAATATTCTAATATCATACCCTTGCTCCCTCTCTCTTTTTTTTTTCCAGTACAGTAGACGGTGGTTTTTCCCATTGAAAATGTGAGACATAATCACACTCTATCGTGAGATTTGTCGTAATTCCAAACTCCTTTGTGCTACGATCACTTACAAATCAGCTCCCAACAATAGCCATACAGCTTTCTTGTGTAATCTTACTACAGCCAATGAATCCTTTCCATTGCGTGCCCTGTTTTTGTCAGATCGTAAACTTGGACAATGAATGTGCTCTTTCTCACAAGCAACAGTAGTGTTTTTGTAGTGAGAAATATATCAAATTCAAAAAAAAACATTGATTATGAGCTTTAAACTACCGAATTTAAGATGTCCTATAACTTGTGACAAATGAACAATTCTTTTCCTCTATCTTGGTTTCATCTAAAGAAATTCTAACCCTGTGACTATAAAAAAGTCATTTGAATGAATGTAATCTCAGCCATTCACGTGGACATAGGTATTATTCCGCAAAGTTTTAACACTCAGGGCATGAACTCTCTATAATAGTTATTGGTTGTATATGATCTCCCATTGTTTACAAAAGGCATGGTAATGACTGCGAGCTTTTTTTTGTGGTGTTTCTTTTACAATAACCTTTAACGTATCTTCATCCTACAAGTCATTACAGATCAGGTAACTCGTGTTCCTTGATATAATTCTGAAATAATGGATAAATTTATCATTTACCGTGATAAGTAATGACTCGTACTAGCAAACAGAAAATTAATACCTCCACTCCGTCTATTTATCATGGTATGACATCGACCCTGAGTAAAGTAAACGCGGCAGAGCCAGAATGTTTAATTACAAATGAGTACCAGAATTCTGAACAGTCTTATACAACCGATTAGATTTTTATTTTTAAAAAAAGGTGAAACTTTTATCTTTATTATTTAATGCAGCTATACATTTTTGCAATTCGCATATTCTAAGCAAAAGTATTTATTACGTTTGGATACTATCAGTTGGCAATTTCGACGTTGTGGTATTGGGCATACACATATATCAATAACCAACATTATGCATCGTCAAATGTATTGAAACGAACCAAATATAATTTTACATCTTCATATGTATGTGCTTCATAGTCGCTACTTACAGGAAATCTGTTACATTTATGTCCACAACGATAACTCTCTGTATGAACAAAGATTTTTCTTGGGCAATGGTAAACTTTTCTCAGGCATGAAATTGATGAGATTAGTTGAAAAGGTATGGCCTTGACTCTTCCGATATACGAAGGCAACAAAAAAGGGTCAATTGTATGATTTATACTACAATTAAACTGCTCTTCAGTAAGGAGTTGATATAAAACCTCCTCTTTGGTATTCATGATTTTATCAATCTTGTTGCTCAAAGCTGGGATACCATAGAAATCTGCTTCATTTTTCAAACTCTTTAAATAACATTTTTCGATGTCAAAATCTCCAGTTCGAAGATATAGCAAAATAAATCGGAACAGAAACCCATCTCTATCAATAAAGATTTCATCACTTGTTTGTTCGTCCCATTCCCCGTCGACCAATGATGTCAAATAAACGGATTCACGCAGGGTATCGTGGGTTGTTACATAGTTTGTGCCCCCAACGTTTAGTTTTACAATATCTTCACCAGTCATGATAATACAATAGTGCTTTGAGTAAAAGGGAAGAAAGATAGATGCATATGAAAACTGTAAAATAAAAAATTGATAGCTGACATAGTTGGCGGCAACTTTTGACCCCGAAGAGTTGATAGATAAAAATGATTCATTTTCTATTTCGAATTACTCTAAGAACTCAATTTTTGGACATGTTAAGTTTTTTTTTTTTCCTTACATCTTGACTTAATCATAACTACAAGAATAATATAAGAATATATGCTTGTGTAACACGACCTCCTACTGCAAAACTTGGTTTGCTATTCATGTGAGTAACTTAGCTAGACAAGCTTAGGATGTTAATATGTAGCATATAATTATGTTTTATAGGTGTACCTCGTCAATAGAAAGGTATAGTAATTGTGTTCACTTATATAGACACAAATTACTCAAATCAGAATATGTGATTATTTACAAAATGTATAAAAAATCATTACATCTTGTTTGCAAATCATTATTGTTGGCGACATTATAGATAAATAAAAGTGATATAATCGTGTTAAAGTTGTGGACGAAACTATTGACTTGAAATAATAGTACTTGTTGATGATAGCTGCTACAAAATATGGAAATTTTTATATGGAGGGTCCGTAAGTTATCCTGAGTAGATATTAATTATTATTAGTGAAGTGAGCAGCAAAAAGTTGCTGTACTGTAGACAGAAATTGGGTACATCTAAGATTGCTGGAAGCTACAGCGAATGCATTTCTATTTCGCTGTGGTTTTTTTCATACAGTGTGCAAAATGGGATTCTGAAAAGTGAGCAAGACATAAAAATCAACTTTATACGCGAAAAATATCGTAATCAGTCATTCAATGCATGATAGATGGACGTGTATGACAAGTATGTGTATAGTTTAAACAAATAACACTCTCATGAATTTGACCAATTCACAAGAGCGATTATTTAATTTGCAGATAGATTTATTGTGGTGATAGAAAAAAAAGAAAACTTAGATCTTTTGCATAGCAGCAACATCAACGGATTGGACGAAATCCTCGAATTCCAAAATCTTATCAGATAAATCTTCCATGAGGACCTTATCATCTTCAACAACACAGTTGATTTGGAGCTTCTTGATACCGTAACCGATGGCAACAAGTTGAGAACCACCCCAGAGGAGACCATCCATGACAATGGACTTGACGGCCTTGGTCAATTCCTCCATATCAGTCTCATCATCCCAAGGCTTAACTTCAAGGGTGACGGTGGTCTTGGCAGTAGGCTTGGGCTTACCGGCCTTCTTGGCGTTGTATTCAGCAACACGTTGAGCCTTAAGCTTCTCAGCTTCCTCATCAACTTCCTCATCATCGGAACCGAAGAGATCAATGTCATCATCTTCTTCAGTGGCAGCGGCAGCGGGAGCGGCGGTCTCAGTAGGCCTATTGTAAAAGAATAAACGCGTAAGTACGACGAATCACGACCGAACAAGACTATTACTTACTTAACCTCGGAGAACCACTTGTTGACGTTGACGAACTCGGCAGCAGGGGCGGAACCTAAGGCCTTGGCAACAGCAGCATCAGCTTCAGTAGCCTTATCACTACAGAAGAAAAAAAAATGTCAATACTAAGCCACCAAATTTACAAAAGTTGAACTGGAAGGGTTCCAATGAAACAAAAAACAGAAAAGAATACATACGAGGCAATGAACTTGTTCTCAGCAAGGTGAGCTTCGAGAATGATAAGAGCTAAAGGGAGTTCGAGAGTAACAGACATTGTTTAAAGATGTGTATGGATGCAAAAGAAGTAGATTAACTGGCTTCGCCTGCACACTTAAAAAATATTTTTTTTTTCTCGAAAAAAATCTAGGCCAATCATTTTCGTTCCTTTTTGTATCTCGAATGTTGATTTTTTTTTTACGAAATAAGGCAGGTAAAGCAGTACTGCATGAGATAGCTCAGAGTCACTGGCAAAAGAGTTTGTTTCTTGCTCTATTCGCCAATTCAGGTTATTCAATTCCTTTTTCGAGCTTTTTTCCTCATAGTGTTCAGGATCAAGAATGAGCTTGATAAGCCACAAATTTTCGATAGAGTCTGACTTGGAAAGGAGAGCGACTGCATTTGCCCCTCGCGCATGATTTTATACAAAAAGATTCGGGTGAACAGTTTATTAAACTCGTTGCTTATCTGATTGTTTCGTGCGGAAATTGCCTTATAATGCTGACGATAATATACAGTTGAAACAAGGAACGATTAAATTAAGTTTTTAATGCCATGACCTTTTGTGTAATGATGTAAAACGGTTAGTTTACTAATAAAATATGTTGTTACATCATCTGTCAGGTCAATAACATGGATTATTTCTTTATCAGATCCTTTTCTTTACGTCTATATTAAGAAAGGTCCATAGATAAAGCGACTTTATGTTCCATTCCTCGGCATGTCCATATACGTAGTTGATCTAGATACAATCTAGACTCCCTTTTCCAGCACGAAATGCACATTTTATTAGCTTTAAGGGCTGCGTGAATTTACAATGTAATAAAAAAAAATCTGATAACCTATATTTAGTACCAGTGAATTGTGACACATTCTCGTAGTACAATCATACTGTTTACATCAAATTCACACCATTTCCAGAAAACAAGAGGGCTCAACGTCAAATAATAATCAGATGTTAAACCATTAAAAAAGAAGGTTTAAGAAAGAATAATAATAAAAAAAAGGCTGGGGTATTTGTTTTTATTGCTTGGGATGACTGTAATACATACCCAAAGAAATAGGCAAACCAGTTATGAAACCATACTTTTCATAAAGAAATTTAGCGTCACCGTCTGCCATGAGAGTAATGTAGCAATCACGAGTGACATTAGCCTTGATGTAGGTCATGAGAGTCTCCATAATGAGTTTACCAAGTCCCTTTTTTTGATGTTCAGGGAAGACCGCGACATCGACAATTGTAAGCGCCAAGTACCTATCACCAACGATTCTTCCCATACCCACGATAGAATTATCTTGATTATTCACCACAGAAACACCATATACCGTGTGTGGAAGTGCTCTCTTTGCAACTTCGACAGACTTTGGTGATAAACCGGCTCGCTTTCTCAGCTCACAGAACTTTTCAGCGGGAGGAACAGATTCAACAATAGAATATTCAATAGAGACCATAATGAGATTGATCTTTTTTGTTTTTTCACCATACATATGTCGGCTCCTCCATTAATAAACTATACTCAAGATATTCAAGTTATTTTACTTACAAGATTAATACTAATATCAAAGGAAAAAGGAGACGAAAAAGATAGAATTCTTGCCTTTATAAATCATTCTGTCAGTGAATTCAAGGTCCACACCACTGGTAGTACCAAAATAACGGACCTAAAGTTCTACTACGCAAATAAATCGCCAGTCCATCTTTCCAATTTTTCTACAACCCTATAAAGTTGGTCTGTTAGTATTTTTATTTTTTGCTGTTATTGAACACAATGTTTTGTTATTAAAGAAGGTGAGTAACATCTTACTTGTACAACTTATCGTGTCAGCCAGTTATTTTATTACCCCCCCCCCCGCTTATAGTCGAACGCGCGTATTAGCTGAAATAGCGCTCCCTTTCCAAGCCAACAGAAAAAAAATGGTTGAAATCACAACATAAAAATATTTGAAAAAAAGGGGCCAAATTGCTACAACTGTCCTTGATCAAAAAACAGAAATTTATATACTGGCTGAAATTAAATTTTTTCTTTTATTTAATGCAATGAATTTTAACGATCCAACCAACGATACGAGTTTTAATATCTAATCGTCATCAATATGCATGTCACAACAAGTAAACATTCTAATGCTCTATTTTTGGAACAAGCTAATATCAATATGCAATATTTCACATTGCTATTATGGCTGAATATATATGACATGGTTATAGGTTGGCTTGAAGAGTTATATTTATTAGCTATTATTAAAAAAAAGTACACATGCAATGCTCGTTACAATAATATTTACAACGAGTGGTAATAAAACAAAGAGTATCATTAGTTGGCTGTGTTAAAGTTTGATGATTGTATGTGTTGCAATTAGGGCAGCAAAGCAAGCCATGCTTCCACAAATAGTGTAAATTCTGTTTGTTTCCTCCTCATATCGCTGCTTGTCATTGGAGATACGGATGACGACTCCGCGAAAATTAGCTGTCTCCTTTGCCTCTTCAAGAAAGAGCTCATTGAACATTTGGTTTTGCTCGTTTTGTGCCTCGAGCGCGTTTTGTTGTAGCACCAGAAAGTCTTCTTGCTTTTGTAAAAACTCCTTCTCTTGCTCAAACTTTTTTTGGCTTTCTTCGGTTGCTGTTTCTTCTAAGTGAGATGAGCCAGACACCTTTTTTTTTTTTTAAAAAAAAAAAAAAAATGAACATATTAGCCTATTTATCAAATCGTTTATCTCAAAGAACTTACTAGTTGATCGGAGCAGCTGGAACTATCATCATATTTTTCCTTACAAATACTACACACATCTTCCTTTTGCGTTAGGACGAGAAACATCTTTTGGAATTCTGCATCATCATCTTTATCTGATGCTGTGTTAATGACGCACTCTTTTTGATGATTCAACACCCCAGATTTTGTTTGTGGTATTTCCTTATTATCTTGCTTTTTTTGAGGGATGGCGGTGGGAATCTGTTGTTGCGTTTTAGGAACAGCTGTATTAACTTCTTCTTGTAATCTTCTTTCGGTTTCTTCTTTTAATTTCTTTACGGTTTCATCGTTTAATATATCTGCAACTAAATCCGCCGATACTTTATTGGATCTTCTCATCAATTCATCATCATTGATTTCTTTTTCTGGGTCTGTATCTGCTAAAGATTTACAAGTCACTTTTGCATTTTTTTCTCCAACGCTAGAGGTTAGAGAACTGGCTTCAGTTGTATTTTCAGCTATGCTACTTGCTGTGATCAGAGAGCTAGGTGCTGTTGAACTTGTATACTCTACATTGGGTGCTGCCGAACTAACTTTTACCGCCAATTCTAGGGGAATCGCGTCCTTTTTAATATTGGGCACAACAGCGAGATGACTCACCAGTTCTGCAGTTGTTTTTTTCTCTTGAACTTTTGCTGCTGCATTTTTTAAAATAATGAGTGCCTTTTTTTTATTATAGGCTATTCTTCTTGCTTGGGCTTCAGCAGACAAAGGAGCCCTACCATCTGTACCAGAAGTATCCACATCCTTTTTAGAACTTTCGGTAGACGTCTTGTCAGAAAGATTTGTGCTGACGGAGGGAAGCTCATTGTTGGGACACGAGGGAGAATTTGAGCGAGATCTTTGACGCAAGTTTCTGCTGCTGTTACTGCTATTGCTACTACCACTGCTACTGCTACTGCGTCTTCGAGTATTTCTATATCTTCTAGGACGGAAACGTCTTAGAAAACGACGATGTCTGCGTGTCAGTTCTTTTACTTTTCTCAATTCTTCTTTGGCAGAGGCAAAGGTACTTTCTTTTCGACCATTACAGTAGTTTAAGGGGTTGGCCACAAGGAAAGCAACTTTAAATAACTTGCCTGCTATTCTGAACAACATGGTGGAATTGAGAAAGTGGTATTTCTTTTTTTAAAAAAAGTAGTAGTTATTAAATTTAGAACGGAAGGGGTTTTTTTATTTTATTTTAAAGAGCAATATATATATATATATATAAGAATAGGTAGTCTTTTGACGAGAGGATGCCACCTTTGTTTTGTTGGTGTTACGGACAGATTTGTATTATGTACCCTGACATATATCACAATGAGGAAACAATAAGACACGCAATTTGGAAGGTGGAATCAATTGAGAGAACAAGGAAATGGTTTTTTAGATCTGATGGTGCGTGCATTTGTCATATGGGGGATTTTTATGGTTTCATTTTTTTTTTTTTAAATAAGCACATTGTGTTAAATGTGCCTGCAAGTAAAACCACTATAAAATAGAACAAGATTTTGTTAGCATTTGCCATTTAATTTTTTATTTTTTTTTTATCTGAGTCATATCGATTGACACTTGCAAACTTAAAAAAAGTTACCAAAGGTAATAAGAGGAGTTGGTCTTTTATTGATGTTGCCAAAATCACATAATGTGTTCCACTGATTTTGCGGAAATTGAAGTCTTTGAAATGTAGTACCGCTTTTTGGTGTAACTTTTTTTTTTTTTTCCTAACTCAGTTCCAAGCAGCTGGCGCAATAATGTTTCTACGAGAAAAATTATAGAATGCATAGCCATATTATAACATATATGCAGCCAAAAAAAAAATTAGTCGGTATTAGCCAGAAAACCCCATGCTTGATTATAAATGGGATAAACACAAGATTTAAATTAGGAACAAAGAAAATTATGTATTCATACAACAATAAATTTTAATAAATCATTATGCATGAATATATATATTTATAAATAAAAAGAATAAAAAACCTAAGCTAGGTGGGGAAGATCAAAAGTACAAATGTCTGAAAGATCTGGTAATTCCAAGGGAGGGCCCACGATTTGAGAAATGTCGTAATCGTAGGCCCCACAAGTGGCCATTAAAACCGCTTGTGTGTCCATCTTGATGTGGTCTAAATCATCCTTGCTTGGACCAAAAATTCTTTTTGTGAGCTTGTACAATTTAATTTTAATTAGGTTGTAGTTTCGATAAATGAATAAGGGTGGATACATATTCGACAATGTGATTTAGATTGAGGGAAAGGGTATTTAGAGTCTATAAATGTTTTTGATTTTGAGACAGAGAGAGAGACTATAAGGGTGGGGATTATATAGTAGAAGCTGGCTTCATTTTGGTATCTACAGAACTGACACCAATTCGAACAAGACTATAACACCGTTAGGTTTTTCTATTTTGACTTCTTGGCTGAGAGCAACATTTCTAGAACGACGTAATTTAGTCTCAGAGGTAATAATGAACGATTGGATACAGACCTGCACTTTTTTCGAGTTTAAGTTTATCTCGTTATTTCGTCCCGTCGATTATGTTAACGTCTATAGACACCGTACTAGTACGATTTTTTAATTATCTATCATTTAATGAGATCAATAGCCCTGTGTTTAAATCTTCTGGTTGGTTTATTTACTGCGGTTTCTTATTGCACCTATCAGCCAAAGACCCAAATCATTGAATGGATAAACGATAATGTTCCTAGGTGTTCTGGACACCCGTCGATTGAGGCACATACTATGAAAATAATAACACCCCGTTTCCATGCTGTTGTCAGATTGAATTCACCATTCAAATCCAACAATCACCCGCAGTTCCCTGGAAAATTTAAAATTCGGGTTTACACAGAGATTAGTAGATAAAAGAACCTTTATTTATCGTGACAATTCTCCAACTTTTTTAAAGGAACAAAGACTTTCTTTTTCTTTATTTCATACTAACCATTTATACTTGGTTACCAACAGCTTCTTTTTACCCTAAAAAAAAATGATGAAAAACAAAGAGGGGAAGGGGAGGGATTTAAACTTTAAAATGTTGCTCAGGTCCATTATCATCCTTGTCCAAAAACAAACCATAAAAGCTTAAAATACACTTTCAAAAATGAGTTCACAATTTTTATTGTCTTATCAAAACATAAAGTGACATAGATTGAGTAAAAAGAATATCAGACAAAAAAGCTTTCTTTTGTTGCTGCTGCGGTATTTTTTACTTTTTTTTTTTCTAAAAAAAAAAAAAAAGATCTATCGATTATGGGAGATGCTTTACCAGCAGAAGTAATCTTTAAAATTTTGAGTCATACAGCTCCTACAGATGTAAACACCCTGATGAGAATCAACAGACGATGGTATACCCTATCACAACAACAACTGTACAAGGAGGTAACCATCACAGTAGAAGAAACAGACCCAATTGTTCATACGATTCTCCATGGTAACTCCAAACCTGGCAGATTTGTTTCAAAAATGAATATCCACTCCCTAGCCGTCCCCAAAAATTTTACCATCTCAGCGCTAGACACAATCGATTTATTAATGATCCAATGCCCCCATGTGACAGAGATACAGTTTAACCATGAGCTGGATGTAGACGAATGGAATTATTTTGAAGCTTCGTTACGCAGCCAATACAACGTATGGAAACTAGAGAATATCATTTATCCGTTTTCTTTCAGCGATTCTGCATGGGCTCATTATAAACGATGTGCCGTAACAATGATGCATTGCTTACAACACTTTTATATTGGAGCAAAAACATTAAAGACGGTTAGGGAAAGTGATCTATTTCAGAGCCTAACATGTGTCACTGTAAACCCGGGGTTAATGCAATCCTTGATGGAGTGTGGTGATATTCTACGGTCAATGCCCAAGTTAGAAAAGATGCATGCTACCTTGAAAGATCAAAAAACGGATGCTCAACTTTTATTATGTTGGGGTAAGAGAGACGTGTATCCAACCATCCGGACTCTACATCTGACGTATGATGGAGCCATTACTGCAGAAGATTTACGCATTATCATGTATAAATTCAGGGCACTTGAAGATCTGCAATTAAAATTTAACGGAGGAGTGGAACTTATTCGAGACGAGTTATTTCGAGGTGTGATCCAGTATATCACCAGTTTACGGAGATACCATCTCGAGATTTGCAACTCATTTGAGATTACTGATTGTGTATTATTGCTGGAAAAGTATTATATGACTGTCAACAATGAAGTGATCAGTGGGGTGGTTGATATCCATTATGAAAGCAATATCAAGCGATCTATTTGTTGCAGTCTTCATGATCAGAGTAAAAACATGAATTTGACTTTTGTAACTCATTCTCCACGGTATGAGGATATGTGGTACGTGGGGTATGTTACAAGCAAAATTTTAACAGACGAAAAGATCAGTATGAATTTCAAAACTCTTCATTTCCACCTGAAAGGCGATATGCTCAACCCCTATGTGCTGCAGAATATTCATCGACTGAACTATACAAGAAAGTTAATTTTCACCCGTGGTAGAATTACGGCAGGATCATTGCACGGATCAAGGTATTGCCTCTCTGTTGGAGCTATCGAATTAAACGAATGTGACGTATCAGCTGTTGGATGTCTATATTATTTCTTGAGCTACTTTCATCATGTGTCTTTAAAGTTGACGCATTGTCGTTTACCTGTACTTGACGAACAGGGCGAGTTGCATCTGTCGCTTCCTACCAGTGTGACCGATACACTTCATTTAAATTTTGCAAGTCCGGTGTATGCTCGCATTAAATTTATAGAGAAAGACGACATGTACTTCTTTTTCGATGATTTCAGTAACACAGCGCATAATCTATCACAAAGTATTGACAGCGAGATATATAAGCAGCATTTACGCATGCAACAGCCAAAGGTAAAGTTTATTCATATTGAAGCCACCCGGTTAAAGACGATCTTGTTTGATGGATGTGGGAGGTTGGATTTTGTTTGGTGATTTGTTTTTTATTAATAATAAACTTTTGACATTCTAATTCTATATTTAATATCAACGAAAAAAGTCTTTAGTTATTTCGAAAGCATAATACTTTCTTTACATTCCTTCAGGGGGAAAGTGGACAGAAGGGATCAACTTTTTTTTTATGCAGTGATACAGTAATAACTAGCTGGTAAATATTGACCATTCTGGAAAGTTAAATGGATTTGGGCATGGATAAACGGGAAGGTTGAAAGGAAGGGTCTACTTATTTATAAAGTCTTTTTGTGGAAATGTCTAGACCTCCGTATTTTTTTCAAAGGTATTTTTAAGAATAACGTAATCTGGTCTACACATAAGTCGACCCTATGAGTCCAAGAAAAATGGTTACGTCGATGGACATGCCGAATCATCTTAACTCTTTAAGATAGTCGTGTATTTCGGATTTCCATAATATATGCTTCATTATCAATACATGTTACTACTACTGCTGAAACACTAATAGACAACTATCAAGTTCTGAGTTTCTACTTTAAGTAAAGGCCCAAACAATATAGATGACCAAATAAACAATTTAATCATTCTGACATAAGCTCTTGTTTATCAGCCCACAAATAAGGTTCGTTCACATACTTTTTTTTTTTTTGATTAGGTCATCCTGACATAAACCAGTTCTTGTTTATCAGCCTTTAAATAGCCCGTTTCACACTGTTTTTCCCTTTTTCTTTACTCTTAAAATATAATGAAAAGGTAAGTTGATAGTGGCTTTTGTCATTTCAAGAAGCTCTAAATTATTAGTTCTTTTTATTTAAAGGATAAATTATAGTGTAATTCTTACGATATTACGACTCCTGTTAGTTTTTGCTATTGGATGGCGACCTCCTAGATTGAGTTCTTGGGGGAGTTTGGACAGTCATTTGATGGGTGGACTGTAAATAGTAGTGGCTACACTGAAAATAGTTGTGATCAGACTGGTCTAGTTGGGCATGGCCAAGATTGCTGTAAGTTACATAATTTCTTCTTTAAAAGTGACTCTAAAAGAGATGTAGAAAATTAAAAAAAAAAAAAGGGATGTAGGTGTAGACACTCTCTTTGGCCAGACAGCGCAAAGCCAATTGCGTGATTCTCTACATTCGACCCTGTCTTATGTAGAGTACGCTAATTACAAGCATTTGGACCGAAACAGCACAAACATCGGTTATAAAAGTACCATTGGATAGTCTCAAAAGTGCAGGTAACCGTGAATGTCGAAAACAGGCTATAGACCGAAGCAGGCTGTTTGATGTAAGTTTATTTTTTGGGTTGTTTATTTTTAACATATTACCAACATATGTATCACTGCTAGACGCGTAAGGATCCAAATTCAAAATTCGGCAAAGAATATAAACTCTACTGGGACTTGAGAGAATCTAAAGAAAGGGAAACTACAGCTAGTCGTGTGTCTCAACAATTACAACAGATGGCCAGACTGATAATGCAATTAGTTTGGCACAAATAAAGTGGGGAAGCGGGCCCCACTTTTTTTAAAAAAAAAAAAATGATTGCGTGATATTTTACACACTGCATTTAGCTGTGCTCATACTGTAAATAGGTATACATGTCTGGGTTACAGTGTTTGAAGCATCCAAACACAAACACAAATTGTAAGAATAATTTTTTGTTTAGTACTTGCATATTACTTGGTTTAAAACTCTTTGTATTTTAGGCGCTTGGAACAAATCGTTCGCACACCAGTGCAGGTAATAGTAGTAAATACCAATATTGAGGACTTATTTACTCACTTTTACGATTCTAGTTTGAATGGTGTCATTGATTGGACTGTCCCAGCCGCACGCGAGATGGCCATAAATAAATTCCCAGCTAGTATAATCAGTATCATACAAGACCTATGCCAGTTTAAAGAATACGAATATACCCCAGAATGCAAAAGCCTTGTCACTAGATTAACTGGTGAAGACAAATCCATTATGGCTTGGCACAAAGAGCTGCTAAAACCTCATGAATTCACCGACAAAGCATTTGACCCTTTAGATCATCAGGACTGGGATTATGTTAAGTTTATGACGGAGCATTTGTAAGTTATGAGTGTTTCCAGACTGCTGACTCTCTATTAATTTTTCTGTTATTTAGCTTAAAAATTGATGGAAGCACCGACCAGTCCTCGAGACTTGGTGAACGAACTGCAGTCTCGTATGCAAGTCAACCCATTATTGATAATCATTTATGGCTGACTTGCGCATTTCTTTCTGATGCAAAAAATGGTATATATTTATATTATTTGTTTTGATATTATCTCATTCTCTCCTAACAGAATGTATTGTGAATAGGATTGAAGTCGGTAATGATTTTACCGCGGGTCAGCCCAAAACAGATGAATTGGGTTTGGGATGACGCTAAAGGCGTCCTGGACTGTCCGGTTTTAATTGAAAAACATGCGCTTGAGTATTCAAACCATCTGATTTGGAATATCGAACCTTTTAAAGGAAATATGGTTGATTATTGAGTTCGCAGGATGAAATGTATCTTCGTCAACAGCAAAATTTGACGGCGACATCAAAAAAAAAAATCTTTGACAATGCTTTGAAGACAATCAAACGAAGTGGAAGAGATATATTTTTTTACTGTTCTCTACTTTAGTAAGTATAAGCCAGCAAAATATGACATATATATTAACATGTATTCTGTTTTTGTAGACAATTTGATTTATTACGAGGTCCTGATCAAGTTACAAAATCAATATGTTCGATTCAATTATATCATTTCAAAATGTCTGTTGAATTCTCCCGAACTTCGAAAATTCGTCAAGGATACCAAAGTCATGTTTGCGTGGGTCCGAGATCTTGCCACATGTGCTAAAACCATCCATTAATTTACTTGTGCGATAACTATGGGACAAGAGAATAAAATGAAACTCTTGATAACTTTATTGTGCTTTGTTTTATAAATTATAAAAAGACTAGAATAAGATTCGTCTAGTTGTATAACTGATTTTCTACTTTTATATGAGATTAGTTAGTAGCATTGGCTGCTAAAAGACTGCTTGCTTTGATTTCATGAGTTTTCCTTTACATAAAGCAAAAATAACCTGTTTGCTTTAGGGCTCAATCATCTCTCAGTGCCGGGTGGAGATTTTGTTCCGACCTGAACATCCTGATATATACTTTCAAATTTTCCACGCGTAAATGCTTTATCATAATAAAAAGTGACATGTGCAGTAACGAATAAAATAAAAGATTTACAAAAATGACCAAAAGATTTTTTTTTAAAGAGAAAGTGGACCAATATTTACCAGCAGAAGGCAGTTGTATATAAAGTTAAATTACACCTTTTTTTAACTGCGTTTCATGTTTCCCCCATTCTATCTCACTTGGAATTTTAATTGTTTTAATATGGGCGAGACTCAGCTATTATAAGGAGTTTTTATATATTTCATTGTTTAGAAAGAACGAGATTTGCTCCTTTGAGTCGTATGTCTAAAAGTATGACTTTTGGCCGATACTGAGTTTTTTTACGTTCTCTTTGCATGATCACCCCCAGATACTAAACAAACCCTTTTTTTTATTTATTTTATTTTCGGGTAATCTGGGCCATGCTGTCATCTGACAAAAATAAATGCTCTCTTTTTTTTCAAAAAGAAGTTTAAATAACCGCTCCCCCTCCCCCACTCCCCACAGCGTACGTTTTATTGATTGGATCTGTAAATATCTCCCCAGGCCTACCTAATCTGGGTAAGAAAAAAATAAATTCTTCCCTCTCTCTCTTTTTTTTTTTTTTTTTTTTTTTAGCAGCAGAAATCATGAATATGGAAGCTCATTCTAGTAATTACAACTCATCGCAACCACCACCACCTGCTGCTGCTAAATGGATACAAGACAACGAAGACAGTGATACTGACCAAGTTGGTTTAGTTGCTCATAACCGAGGCTATAAACATATCCTTTTTTTTTTTTTTTTTGAATGATACTAATGGACTAAACACTTTTTTTATTGAATTGAACTCTTATTATTCCTTAACTTTTTTCACACTGAAGAAATGGGCACCATCCGATTCTCAGTTTGGAGGAAATAAATTACGTGCACCAAAGACACTTGCGGAAGAAACAGAGGTTTTTTTTTTTTTAAAAAATAGATATATCTTGATATTTTTTTTATTTCATGTACTTACGCGTCAAGTTTCAAGTTTACAAAAGGAGGAAAGAAAAGAACGATTGTAAAGAGAAAGAAGAGAAGATTAGAAGATGGTATATCCGATGAAGAAGAAGATCCTTATACCCTCATCAACATTGAAGGTAACAAAACATTTGCAAAAAAAAAAAAGATGCTTTTTGTTGTTGTTGTTGTTGTTGCTAAATGCTTTAAAAAAAAAAAAGATATCCTGAGTCCAATCGAATTACCGACCGACATTGTACGTCGACCCGCTCTAAGAAGAATTCTACTCTCTACCCAGATTGACGCTTTAGCCAGAACATCCATGGAGTTTATTGAAGGCGAAAAGAACTTTAACAAGATCTTGTGCCGTCTTTCTGCCATTATGCATCATGACGATCCTCGTTATTTGGACCTGACGTTTGATCGTACCTTGGAACAGCGCAAGAAATACAAGCAAGATGTGGAAGCTGCCAGTCAAGCGGCTGCCACTCTAAGCCAAGCCCCCGCTTCGTCCGAAGACGACGACAACGACAACGACAATGACGATGACGACGACGTGGTGGAGGCATTGGATCCAAAAGTGTTGGATGCCGAAGTTGTAGCCACCATTAAAGAAATTGAGAATCAGGATGAGCATGTAGATACCGAAGTCCAAGAGGTTGTGAAAAGAGTGAAAGAGTTGTTATTAGTGAGTAATTTCTGTACATGTTGTAAGGGCTTATATTTAATTCAAGCGTACACAATAGGAAAATATCAATTATAGCAACGAATATATATCTCGTCTTCAAGGAGCTCGTAATAAATTATGTAAAGCCAGTATGCAAAAAGAGACTTTATGGAAAGAATTAAAAGCCAATGCAAAAGAAGAAGATTTACGAAACAAGGCATCCTTTGTCAACACCACAACCAATAGCAGCAGCTCATTTCACTGAAAAAAAAAAAAAATAATAATATATAAATATATCTATTTTATTGAAAAACCAGCAGCAATAAAATTTTTCTTTTTTTTTTTTTCTTTTTTTTTTTAAATAAAAAAACATGACTTGGATAATGGTACATCATCATCATCATCATCTACGAGTATATTGATATCATTTAATTGAGCCTTGACCTTTTCCTTGTATTTTTCTGCAGCAGATTGAAGTTGACCTCCTTTACGTTGCTGATGAGCGGTGATAAAACCAATAGGTACTAAATCTTCGTCATCCTCATCATCGGAAAACGTATCTAATAAGGATAACGGCGTGGTAGGACAAGAAGGTCTTCGGTGAAGAGGTAATTTTTGTGTGTTGAGCTTCATGACGGGTGGAGAGATCCGATTGAAATATCCCTTTTTGGATTCTAAAAGGTATTGTACAAGTGGTACATCGTCTTCTTCTTGCTTCTTGTTCAATGCCATTCTTTTTTGACTGTTTAGATAAAAGAAAGAAAGAAAAGAAGTTCATTTGAAATGCAACTATTTAAGACCCCAAAAAAAAAAAAAAAGCTCCCTTTCCACACACACACACACACACTCTCTCTCCTTTTGCAAACATTTTTTATAGGCAATATATATATGTGAAATGTTTATTAATAGGCATAGAATAGTAATAAATCATGGTTCAGCAAGGAGAGTTTTACGATATTTACATACAACCACCCCAAAACATACAAGGGAAAAAAAAAGGGGGAGAATTTGAAAGGGGGGGCTGTTGGGATGGTGATGGTGGTTGGGAGGGAGGGAGGGAGGGAGGGGGGGATTATATTATTATTATTGTTATTATTAGGGGAAGGTTTGTTGCATAATTAATAAAGATTTGATTGAAGGTAAACGATTTGTGTCACACATGATTGGTTTATAGTCCAGTGGAGGTAAATAAGCTTCCTTTGGCGACCATTCTTCCTCTGCTGCTGAAGAACAGGAACTTGGTAAAGACAGACAAGGTGAAGGTGGTGCATTAAACATTAAGGAAAGTTTGTCGACGTCATCTAATTCGTCATAGGAAAGTAATACATTATGCTGTTTCTCAATATGACGAGCTAATTGACCTTTTCGCCAAAAAGATTTAAAACAACTTGAAACGGGGCAATGATTTAATTTGGCGCAGGATTGTTTATATGGACTCATTCTAGCCTTTTGTTGTATTGGCTGTTGCTGCTGCTGTATGTTCTGCTGTTGTTGTTGTTGTTGGCTTGGATGAATGAATCGAAGGATAGAGCAATGTTGTTGTTGCTTTAGATAAGCTTCCTCATCATCTAGAGACCTTGAGGTTTTAGATGTATGATTAAATCGACGAATCTTTCTACGTCGTTGTAATAGCACCGATGGCGGAGCAGTATGAACACGAATATGTCGACTTAATTCGTCGGAACGAGCAAACTTTTTATCGCATTGGGGGAATGTACATTGATGGGGTTTTTCTCCTGTGTGTGTACGTACGTGACGTACTTTATGCTCTAATCTATAAAATGATTTGTGGCAAAAGTTACACTGATAAGGGCGTCCAAGTGAGGTGCTCATGAAAATGAAAAGAAAAGAGAGAGAGAAATAAAGAGAAATAAAGAGAAATCTACAACAACAATTTATATATCCTTTTTCCGTCAAAAGTAGGCTATTATAAGTTTTTTATATGGACCCTAATTTTTATTGCCTTTTATATCATAAGAAACGACTGGGGGAAGGAAAAAAAAAGAAAAAAAAAAGTTATGAGAGTCATGCACTATTATCTCATCCCAAACAACTATAGTGCTTGTTTGTTATTCTAAATACTCTACATGATCAATTGAGAAGGGTGTTTTAGCGCAAAAAAAGTCAATATAAATAAATTATAATAAAAAAAAAAAATGTACCCCAATCAACCCTTTCCAAAAGTGAGTTTTTATTATTATTTTACCAGCAGTCATGGGTCACACACTATTTATTTCACTACAATAAAAAATCCCATTATATAAATTAACGGATCCCATCAATACAGTAAATCCGACAACGGCCCCTGATTATGCAAAAGACTAAACAATTACACAATGTTATTTTATTGTTCCTGAACCCCCCCATTCATTTCTTTCCTCTTTTCCACCGTGGGATTACACACTTTTTTTTTGTGTTCCAACTTTCTTCAAGTCAGCACGCATGGACAGCTATTCTATTTCTGTTGTCTATAGACTCACACACACACACTTATAAAATAGATAAAACCATAAAAAAATGTTCAAACCTTTTTATTTTTTGACTCATGATGATTTTCAGCCAAATTATCCTATCTGTTTCTTTTACAATCACATGTTAATTGGGGGGTGTGGTATCCACGGGCCTGTGCTTCAAATAATAAAAAAAAAAAAAAATTTAAGCTTTTTTTTTAAAGAGAAGTAACACCCGTCGTTTCAGTTTTTTCCTAATGTTTTAACTGATGACGGAAACATACAAAAAAAAAAGTGTGGCATCTTTTGGGAATAAAACTCACGGGGTCTTTATTGAACACACCACTCACACATAAACCAAAATGCCAAAAATAACAATATTTTTTTTAGTGTCCCCAATCATTCTATACACAAAAAAAAAAAAAGATTCGTAATTATACCCCTTCTTTTCTCCCCCAAACACACACACACACACACTAAAATTGACGTTTATGATCGTAATGTGTGTATATCGGGTTACCATAAGCTCATCTGTTTGTTGTTTGAGAAAAAAAAAATAAAGATTATCACTTGATCTCTCAACAGCATTTGGTTTCTCCCCCCCCCCTTCATGGTTTAAAACGCCGTATAAACTTTTTTTTTTTAAAAGTATTACAAATACTTTATATAAAAAGCACTTGAAAAAAATCATCTTATACCGGGTGCCGGTCAATGTTTAAATAACAAGATTTCCCTAGAGATTAGATATTGCTCAACTTTTTCTCCTTTTGTCTATTAAGACTTTCCCACACATCTCAATGCTGTATCACCTCCCCCCCCCCCAACCGCGTTTTCCTCGTAATCCCCTTTGCTAGTAGATGATCTATAATTTACTTTTGTAAAAAAGTAAATAATTTTCAAATGGGTTACATTTTCGTACGCAACCCCTTTTATAAATGAAAGAATGACAGAGTAGAATGTCTCCTCATCTTTTAACGTTAACTTTAAATCAGCCTTGTTTCAACACGATAATTTTATCGAAACAAAAAAGTTTAAAAGGTTCTTTTTCGTTACCTGTTCTTTCCGTGTTGTAGATAAACCCATGACCTGCAACTAATTCGTCTACCTTTTTATGTCCTTTTAAGCATGAATTCGCGATTTAAAATCATTATGTTTCGAATCATCAAACAATACTATATTAGCCTATAAAATTTCATGACATTTTTTTTTCAAAAAAAAAAAAAAAAAAAAAAAAAAATCATGCAAATCACAAAAGGGTATGTATACCTCGTAAAAATTTACAAATTTGCCATTTAAGAGCTCTTCTTTCTATGCTTTATGCAACAGTGTTCCCGAGCTATTAGGGCTTAAATTCAACCGCTCTTTCCAACCAAAATCATGAAATACAGCGTGTCATTAAAAAAAAAAAAAAACGGTTTCTATCAGACAAACTTTTTTTTTTTTTACATATAAAAACACAGCAAATCTATTAACAAAAGATGCGTCTCACTTGGCCTGTCATTTCTGTCATAAGATTATCTTTAATTAAAGTAAATCACTCCCCCCCCCATCGACTTTTACATTGCCGTGTAAAAATCATGGAATCTCTCTCTTTCTTTTTTTGATAAGATTGATTCGACGACGACTGGTGTACAAGGATCGGAGATTGTAAACATATAATAATTAAAAAGCTTTTTTGGTTTTGACCCATAAAAAAGCGACAAGCAAACATTTTTACTTGTGACTTTTTCCCTTTTTGCTTAATCTATCATATTTAGTGTTACCCAGTTTCACTGTCTGTTTCCGCATCTGGGACGCAGTACAGGTAAATCAAGGGCTGTGTTTGACAGTACAATGGCATTTACGCATATAAATATATACTTTATATAAAGAAAGGATACCAATTTATTTATATGAGTATTCTTTACAATGTGATGAATCCTCATGATACAAATCATAATAATCATAAAAAAAAAAAAAAGCATGTCATCAATGTGGTCTTTGTACTACTTTTTATCTTGAAATCCCATGTAATCTTTTCTTTTGTTTAATCGATGCAACGGGGTTTTTTATTAGTACCAAAAAAAAAAAAGTTGAATAGAAAATAACACTGAAAAGGTGGGGGTAGAAACTCCATGTAGAAACGAAGGGATGTAGATAAAAATGAATTACATCACCTAATGATAAATTCCCTCTCTCTCTCTCTTTTAATATTTATTTTTTCGTTTATTATTTTTTTTTTTTTTTGAACATCACAACACACACACACATACACACTTTTATAACCACCCCTTTTTTTTTTAAACGTATTGAGAGATCCAACGGAAACCATCACCGTAACCTTGTCTCATGACAACAGAACACATGAAGACTTCAATAGGACGAATATCAGCCAATGGAACCTTACCCTTTTTTTTTTTGTTGTTGTTGTTATATGGTCAGTTAGTAAATCTATATGAAGAAGAAGAAAGTGTATATGTCCCCCTTTTTTTTTTTTACCTTGCCGGTTGTTTGGAGTAATCCTAATTCTTGTCTGAGAGTCTCTTCACTGACAGCACCGGGAGCATCAATCTTGTTACCAAGAACCAAGAAAGGGACCTTGGAGAGTTGTTCGATAGCCAAAAGAGCCTATACAAAAGAAAAGAGAGAGAAATAAGCTAATTATTTTTGGACAACAATCCTACAAAAAAAGAAACTTACATCTAATTCAGCCTTGGCCTCACCAAAGCGAGAGTGGTCAGCACAATCGACCAAGAAGACGATACCTCCCACTTCAGGAAAGTAATCTCTCCACAATCTACGTGCTTGTAAATGGCCACCTAAATCATAGGTGGTGAACTTGACGTTACCAATAGCGAGTTCTTCAGAAGCTGCGATAGAGAAAGAAAAAAAAGAAAAAAGAAAAAGATGCTTAGAAAACCCATCATCTCTTTTCATCTGAAATATGCACTTTACTAGGATGAAGGGTAGGTTGCAACGTGGCTAAACGGTCGTTCTTGAGCATGTGCAATAAAGTGGTTTTACCAGCATTATCAAGACCCAAGAAGAGAATCTTTGCATTCTTGTTCATGAGACCTGTTTTCACCCAAAAAATGATAATAATAACGCGACGAAGTGGGTCAATAAAAACTGTTCGTTTCCTTTTTTTTTTCTCTAGTCAACACTTACCTAAAGAGGACAAGACATCCCAAAACCAATTAACGAGAAACATGATTTGTTTTTTTTAAATAATGTATATACAAAAAGAGCAAAAAAAAAATTAATTCTTCATGGAAACTTAAAGACCAAAACTTTGAGGGGGATTCAATCCCGCAAGTAACACGTAGACAAAAAATAAAAAGCGTGACCTTTTTTTTTATTTTATTTATCAATTAAGAAAAAAAAAAAATAGATAAAAAAAAATAGCACTTGACTTTCCTTCTCTCTTATATAAAAAAGGCATCATTGGTGTAAATTCATATCTTAACCCAGTGACAATCATACAACAACAGTGTGATTTTTTTTTTTTTTGTAAATTGACACATGCTAAAAAAAAACCAATGGTCTTCGTACACTACAATAACGCGGAAATGAAATCAACAAACAGCAAAAAAAAAAAAACTCGCGATTCAAATGGCGCGTTTTTTTTTTTTTTTTTTTTCTCTATTTTTCTCTCTCACCTATTTTTTTCAAAACCCCTAATGTACCATTCTGACGCAAAGTTTCATCGGTTTGGTGGGTTTGGAAGAAAACATAATGTCGTTCAATTTAAAATCAGAGATAAAACAAGTCCTTCCATTATAGGCATTAATAACACGAAACCTACACAGGCAACAGAGGCAGAACCAACCACCTCTTCTTCATCATCGTCTAATTCATCCATCGATCCCTTTGATTTCCCACCCGTCATTAAACGAACACCATTACCTACCACAAAACTAGAAGAAGAAGAAGAGGAGGAGGAGGAGGACGATAATGTGTTTGATTATCCAGACATTGCTCAAGAAGCGTTAGAAGTCAAACTCATGGTGGCTTCCATGCGATCCATACCACACAATGATAAAAAAAAGAAGAAAGTCTCTCCCGTCAACACACCCAAATCTCTCTCTACCACCACCACCACCACCACCACCAGTCATATGAAGAAACCCGTTACAAAAGTAGCCACATTAAACAAAAGAGCACCGCCACCACCATCAAAAACCGTGCTGCATAATATGGATCGACAGGAGGCTTGCTATTCGCCTCAACTAAAGCAACACTTGATACAACAACAACAGAGAGATCAACTATTACTGAAACAAAAGAAAGAGCGCATCTTACTAGAACAGCAAATCGAACGAGCCTTATTACAACAACAACAAAAAGAACAAGAAGCCATGCGTCAACAAGAAGCTAGTTTTGATATTTTTGATTTCGATTATAACCCGACCATCAGACCGAGTCGAGTCAAGAATGGAGCAAAAGCAACGTTATTGCCAGAAAAGAAACGGAAACGAAATGTGGTGGCGCATCTAAAGACAGCGAGAGGAGAGACCACACAACCGAGTAAATCATTTGATTTTTTATTATCGGATGGAGAAGAAGAAGATCTTGTAGGAACAAGCCATCTTTTACCGTTACGTGAAATCAAGGAACGAAGTCGATCACCTGAATTAACGTATGCAGAACGTATGGAATTGGAATTAGAAGCCATGACACAAGTGACAAACGAGCCCATGATACCCGTCTGTGAATCGAAACGTGTAGCTTATACACCTCAAAATAAGCTAAATGTCAAAATCACATTTTCATCTTCGTCAAAAAAATAATAATAATAATAATAATAAAAAGAAGGTGTTTGTTTATTTTGATTTTTTTTATTATTATGATGATGATGATTTACTAGCCCAATAGGCTTGAATAGCTTGTTCACATTCTTCTTTTTGTCCTCTAGGATGATCTAATTGCCACATCATTTGTACTTTCAATAATTCATTGACAATAGGTCCTGGTTTTTGTCCCACTAATTGCGCTGCACGTTTACCATCCACCATATGTTTCCACGTATAACAATCCTCAATCCCATACTCGATCGCTGTCTGCATCAACCCATTGTATTTTGTCAAGATCTCCTTTCCGATTGTTGGATCATCAGGTCCCTCCTTTGTCCAATCCAACGCATACGTATCCACCATCTCCTTAATCATCGTCATCTTGACGGCTGTCTTCCATAACGCGCCCAATTCTCGAATCACCATACCCAGTTCGGATCGTTTCAAGTGTTGCACTGAATGACGTGCTGCTAATGTCTGTACTTGTTCAATACCCTTGAACAAGGTAGAGACAGTAGCGACATCTGTATTATTGGATTTAATGGCATCGCGTAATACCAATTGAACAGCCGGTAACACTTTTTTCTTGGTCTCGGAGATCACACCATAATAAGGTAAAACACTGGAGGCTAATACCAACGCTCTCTTTTCGGACGCATTCACCTCGATCGCCTGTCGATGGATGAACCAAGTCAAGATACCCACGGCATGAACAGCCACTATGTCAGGTGCAATCACACCACTTTTGATGACGTTGGGTGGGGTCATCATGATGCTGTAGAGGTCTAATTGGTGAATCAGGACGAGAGAGAGTAAAGGATGAGGTCCGGTAATCATCTTTTCGAATTCGATACCGATACGTTCTCGACTGATTTTATGAATCAATGCATCCTTAATATCGGGATGTTTCGCAGCTTCACAAAGTTCGGGTACCATGGTAAAGTTAAATCGGCTAGAGAATCGGATACAGCGAATCACACGAAGTGGATCGTCGTGGAATGTCTCAAAGGGTGCTAAAGGTGTACGAATCCATCCTTCTTTTAAATCGGGAATTCCCTACATATAATGGAAAAAAAAAAAGCGGGGGGGGGATGGTCAGTGGGTTTTGTTGGGGGCTTTTGTTATTTTATATATATATATAGATATTTCAAAGTCTATACCTGCTGCGTAAAATCTTCCACTTGGTTGGTATTGACATTATAAAATAAACTATTGATGGTAATGTCACGACGGTAAGCGTCTTCTTCAGGTGTGCCAAATGTCTGTCCTCATTTTATGAGTGTGTGTCCTTGAGGTCAGTTGTCTTTTTTTTTTTTTAAAAAATGTTCACGTACACATACACACTTACGATTTGAGAAGGGATACGACTGCCTTGTTCATAAATCTCTGTACGTAAATTACAGAAATCGACTTCTTGATCAAACAATTTGGTGGTGGCTGTTTCTAAATGTTTGGATTTTTCTGGATTACTATCGATTTTAGCAATGGATCGTACGGGTACACCTTGTGCTTGTAAATACTGGTTGACATAGGTAGCATATTCATAACCCATCATGTCATTGATGGCAATGTCCAAGTCGTGACATTCTTTACCGAGTAATTTATCGCGCACCCAACCACCGGCGATACGAGAGACGATCAATGGTAATTCGGGACGTTGTTGATGAATAAATGAGGTAACGCCTTGTAAAACAGAACAAATTTTTGTCTCTGTTTCGTTTAATTCTACTTTCATGACATGGCCATGTTTCGATACACCGTAGGTTGTCATGGCTCGTTGAAAAAGTGTTCTTGTTCGGAACATGAATAAAAAAAAAAAAAGAGGTTTTTTTTTTTTTTAATCGTAGTCCCCCCCCCCTCCCTTCACATGAGCACGTTACGTTCTTATTTCTGTGAAATGCATCCATATCCAGTACTAGCTTCTAAAAGAACGCTGTACTTTTTGAGCGTACGGAAAAAAAAAAAAAAAAAAACTCTGTGTGTCTTCATCTGCATATGCTATTGTTGTTGATTGGTCATCAGATTCAGCCCATTCCTACAACACATGAGCCTAGTTATTATTCGTATCGTTTTTTTTTTTTTTTTTTTACAATGACTCACATTCTTTATATATAAATAAAAAAAAAAAGAGTTTATTCTTTTTTTACTGCTACAATCGCTTAAGGATCGCTCTTTCTCTCTCTGTGAGGAAAAAAAAAAAAGAGAGAGACCGGACTTTGAAAAAAAATCGTACCTTTTGTGTCTGCCCCTTTAAAATTCCTCTCTTACACCAACTCCTTGATTATTTGTTTTGATTTTCAACTCCTTTTTCGTTTCTCTTTTTTCTTTTTTTTTCTTCTTCTCTCTTTCTTTTTATTATTATATATACATATATTTCTTTTTAAAAAAAAATGGGAAACACTTGCTGCTGCTGCTGTACAGGTAAGTCTTGATGATAAGGAGGAGGTAGTGGGCCCTAAACTAAAAAAAAAAAAAAAAAAAAAAAAAAAAAATGCGTACCTTTTTCTATCTTAGAGCGAAACAGTCAGACGGGTTTATATGAACCTTTATTACAGGAGAATGAAAGAGAAGCCATTACCGAGCTATTACAATACCTTGAAAGTAAACAAAAAAGATAAGAAAAAAAAAACAATAGATAAACTTCCTTTGTCCCCAGCAATAAAACAAAAAACACGTCTCTTTTTTTTTTTCTTTTTCTTTTTCTTTCTCTTTTTCTTTTTATATGTTTTTCTGTGTATCTAGATCGCAATACGACAAATTTCTTTCAAGGTCAACCTCTACGTGCACTTGCCACACTGGCATTATCCGATAATGTGGATTTACAAAGATCAGCGGCTTTAGCATTTGCTGAAATTACAGAAAAAGGTAAACTAAAAAAAACCCACTCAAGTGCATAACAATGAACCCTTATATAAACGCCCCCCCCCTTTTTTTTTAATACTAGATGTAAGACAAGTAGGACCAGACACTTTAAAGCCAATTTTATTCTTGTTACAATCGCATGATGTAGAAGTACAACGTGCCTCAAGTGCTGCCTTGGGAAATCTCGCTGTCAATAGTAATTGATTTTTTAACATTATAAAAAACATGACCCCAACCCAATCTTTTTTTTGTTCAACATCCCCCCCTTTTTTCTATTTTGTAGCTGAAAACAAATTATTGATTGTACAGTTGGGCGGCTTGGATCAATTGGTAAGACAAATGGCAAGTCCAAATGTAGAAGTTCAATGTAATGCAGTAGGTTGTATCACCAACCTAGCAACCCACGGTAAAAAAAAAAAAAAGATAGAACCCCTTATATATCTATACTAAAACATCACCTACAAAAAAAAAAAAGATGAAAACAAGTCGCGTATTGCCAACTCGGAAGCATTGCGATTACTGATTGATTTAGCCAAATCCAAGGATCAACGAGTGCAAAGAAATGCCACTGGAGCCTTATTAAATATGACGCACACCCGTAACTATTTTTTTTTAACTGAAAAAAAAAAAGAGAAAGATTGGACCAGGTCACTAAAAAAAAAAAAAAAAAAATTTATGTAGAGGACAATCGTCAACAATTGGTCAATGCGGGTGCAATTCCGATCTTGATCAGTTTACTCAGTTCAGCGGACGCCGATGTGCAATACTACTGCACGACCGCGCTGAGTAATATTGCGGTAGATGGTAGTAATCGACGCAAATTAGCCCAATCGGACTCACGTCTTGTCCAATATCTGATCCAACTCATGGACACCAAATCACTCAAGGTACAATGTCAAGCAGCCTTAGCCTTACGTAATTTAGCCTCCGATGAGAAATACCAATTGGAGATCGTCCAATGCAAGGGACTTTCGCCACTCCTACGATTACTCAAATCCTCTTTTTTACCGCTCATTTTATCTTCCGTAGCCTGTATCCGCAACATCTCTATTCACCCCTCTAACGAATCACCCATTATTGATGAAGGGTTTGTCAACCCCTTGATCGAACTCCTTTCGTACGAGGACAATGAGGAAATTCAATGTCATGCCATCTCCACCTTGCGTAATTTAGCTGCTAGCTCCGAACGTAATAAGCGTGCCATTGTGGAGGCGGGAGCGGTAGAACGTATCAAACATTTAATTGAACAGGTACCCGTCACCGTCAAGACCGAAATGACAGCAGCCATTGCTGTCTTGGCCCTGAGCGATGATTTAAAACCCCGTTTGTTGACGATGGGTGTCCTGGATGTCTTGATCCCCATGACAACCCACGACAATGCCGAGGTTCAAGGAAATGCCGCTGCAGCCATTGGTAATCTCAGCTCCAAAATCAAGGATTACACCTCCTTTCTCAAGTACTGGCATCATCCGGTAGGTGGTATTGTGGGTTTTTTGACCCATTTCACGGCAGAGAAAAGTGATGTTGCCTTTCAACATATTGGTATCTGGACTATTGAACAATTCTTGGAAGGCGGTAGTAAGTGTGTGCGGGTAGAGTGGGGGGGAGGGGAGGGGAAAAAGGGAGAGGCTTGTTGTTTCTTACCTTTTTTCTATTAAAAAAAAAAAAAAAAATTGTTAGATGTGGAATTGGCGATCAAGATTCTTCAGTCCAATGAGATCATGGCTTCCATTTCACGTATCGCAGATGAAAAGAACGAGACGGATTTTACAGACAACAGTGATATTCATCTTTTAGCTAAAAGAGTTTTGACCATCTTGCAGGATTTCAAGACTTTACATCCAACAGAAGAATACAGTCGACGATCAGCGGGTCAAAAGCAACGATAAATATATATCTACAAAAGAATAAACTATTTTTTGTGTAACACGTTGTTTAATGATAAATAAAGATGGGGTGGGGGGGTTCAAATGCAAAGGGTTTTCTTATATATATAAAGTAAAAGTCTAGAGATTAGCTACGGCGAGTTGTTGTTGTTGAGAGTGAAAGAGATCATGCCATGTCTTGAATTGTTCCAGCACGACAAAGGTAATGATGGTTTGAGGACCTAAACGAATAAATGCAGGAGTCCAACCTTTAAAGAAGGAAGGTAAACCTTCTGATTTTAACATGGTCTTCATGATGTGTGTAGCCGACATACTATGATCTGTGGTACTGGCAGACATGATACGTGTCTTGATCACATCGACAGGAGAACATACGGTGGTAGCTACTAAGCCAGCCAACACACTCGAGATTAAATGCAATGAAATGCCATCCTGCATGGATGTCCTGTTTAAGAGGAAACTCTTAAAGAGGTCATAGGACACACATTGTGATGAAGTCATTAAGATGGCTCGATTGATATTAGGTCCAAGGCCTCGAAAGAGGGTAGCGATACCTTCCTCTCGACTGATACGAAGAATACCATCAATGGCATGTTTGTAGTTTCGTCGTTGATCCAGCGGTAATTGTCCATCGTTTTGCATACGTACGTTGATCACATCGCCTGGGTTACCACAGGCTCCTCCCAAGGCCCCAGCAACACTGGAACAAAAGAGTAACTGACCCACATTGGCCTCTGGTAAAAGAAAGAAAAAAAAAAAAAAAAAAAGATTGAGTTAATATGAGTCATGATTTCTAATATTTCAATACACATATATATAAAAAAAGGTTCTTCTTACTCTTGTTGGTTTGTAGAGTAATATAGTCTCTTAATTTTTCATAGACACCAAAACGTACGGTAGAATAAGTTGCTTGTCTCAACATGGAGGCTGAGAGACCGTTATAGAGTTTTAAGAGACCTTCGTTACGAGCAATGGTACGCATGGTAGAAAACATGCCCGCTTTACCATTACCCTTTGTGTTCTGAAGACGGACCTTGGTGAGATCAAAGGGATGCACAACCAATGCTGCTACACAAGAAGCTGCACCTCCAAAGTAAAATGGGTAACTCTTTTTTATGTTTTCTGGCATACTGGGAAGAAAGTTGAAGGGTAGTAATATATAAAAAAAAAAGGGGAACAAATAAAGAATTTTTTTTTTTTTTTTTTTACCAACAAAGGGGTTGAATTTACCCGCTTTTTATATGTATATAACTTTAAATCCAGTTGAGCGAACGTGCCATCCCAACCGAAATTACCCTCCCCCCCCCCATAAAACATCGAATGAAGCTAGTCTCCCCTTCCCCATCTTTTTTTTTTTAAAAAAAAGACTAAAAGAATAAAGTCGTTTCCCTCACTGTCTCGTCTTTCTTTGATTTCTTTCTTTTCATTCATAGTCATCATATATTTGACCTGCTGGTTACACCGGCCTATTCTCTCTAAAACCCCCTTAAGAACATCTATAATAATCATATCTTATTCTACAATCATCTAAAATTCTAGTGTGTGAGTCAATTTTTACATGTTCCCCTCTCATGAGAGTGCATTTGTTAGATCACTTAATAAGGTTCACGCATAAACACACGTCTTTCTCATCTTTTGATGACTGAATGGGGGATCTGATTTTTGACAAAAGGTTATTGTCTGGATTTGAAGTTCTGCATGTGCATTATGTAGGCGCTCGCCTCTCTTCCCCCCCCCCCCGCCCCTCTCCCCGCAGATTTTTTTATTATTATTATTTAAATGACAGATTGGTTTCAGAGTCTGTTTTTGTTATGGGCAGTAAAAAAAAAAAAGGGTGTCTTTTTCTCTTTTGGGTAGCGTGAGACTTTTTTCTTGTGGGTTTTTACGCATTCCAAAAAAAAAAAAAAAAGAAAAAAAAAAATTATTTGGATCTCTTGAAAAAGTCCCAAAAAAAGAAAAATAGTTTGTCCAATCATGGAGCCCGTAACACAAGAAAGAAAAGCTGCCTTTTTTTTTTTTTTTTTTTTTTTTTGCACCCCACACACCGAAACGTCCAAAGTCGGGTACGCATTTTAAGTTACACACTCTGCTATGATAACAAGCGTACAGTAACCCCTAAAATGAACACGTTCAAAAAAGAAGAAGAAAAAGAAAGAATCGCGGTATAAAATTAACGCGAAACATGGATGGGAGATGAACGCGTACACGCGCACAGGGAAGGGAAGAGTTAAGATGATAAAAAAAAAAAAAAAAAAAAATGAGGCGGAAATTCAATCCTTTCTCTCTCTTCCTTTTCTTTTATTATTACAACCATGTCTTCCAGTAATCCTTTTAAACGTCCTTTTGATAAATTAGGAAGTTACATTACGCGTACAAGTTTATTATTACAAGAAATTGAGCAAGATGAACTCGATCATTTTAATAATGATGCCGAAGTAGAGTCGTGCTCAATAACAAATTTTTTTTTTTTTTTATTATTATTACTATTATTAAAAAAAAGGGTGTGTGTGTACTAACAACTTTTCCATTAAACAGCTTGATATTTCTTGTCGAGAATACTTGCCTTCGTTCGTAAAAGACAGAACTGAAAGAGAGAATATACCAACGCATGTAAAGACGGCTACACCTTCACCGAGTTCCCCAAAGAGAGCCAAGACCAGCACACAAGAAGAGGATGCCAACGTCAAAAGTTTACCGTCTCCCCTCGTCAAGAAAGAGGCGTCAGTCAAACACGTACGTTTCTTTTTTTCTTTTTTGTAATGTTGTAACTGACACGCCCCCCAAAAAAAAAATCAGTTTGATTCCTTCCCAAGATATCATTCTGTAGTGAATAACAAAGGACCCGTCGAACCACGCTGTCTGGAAGAGATCACCGTAAGTGTGTGTGTGTGTGTGTGTGTGTGTGTGTAAATGAGCTAACGCAAATATAAAAAAAAAAGGTCAATGGAAAGAAATATTTGGTATTGAAACCTTTAGGGGAAGGAGGATCTGGTAAAGTCTTTCAGGTATTTTCTTACGAACATACCGAAAATTTTGCTCTTAAATGGGTCAAAGTACGCAACAAGGAAGAAATGGAGAACGTCAAGAATGAGATCGAACTTATGCGCCTTTTAGAGGACAGTGTACATACCATCACCTTGTTTGACTCTGAATTCACCCCTCAGGTCGTTCTTATGATTATGGAATACGGTGAGATGGATTTCGCTACCTTGATTAAAATCAAATCATTGAGTCCATGGGATATTGACTTTATTCGTTACTATTGGAAGCAAGTAAGTCATAAACAAAAGCAAATTTATCTCCCACTTCTCCAAGTAAGCTGATATACCTTTTTTTTTTAGATGTTACAGGCCGTGTGTGCAACCCATGGAAAAGATATCATTCATTCAGACCTAAAACCCGCTAATTTCATTGTGATTCGAGGCTCTCTGAAATTAATTGATTTCGGCATTGCTGCAGTAGTGCCCGATTATACTACGCATATTGCACGCGATTATCAAGTGGGCACGCGTAACTTTATGGCACCCGAGACATTTACAGAAGGGAGCAATAGTGCATCAGATACCGTCTTCAAACAAGGTCGACCCAGTGATATTTGGTCTTTGGGATGTATTCTCTACCAAATGATCTTTGGTCTGCCTCCCTTTTACAGTGTACCCAAACACATGTTGGCTAAAACCATTACCAATCCAAACCATGACATTGCCTTTCCTAAACACGCCAAGTATGCAGGTGAAACCATTGACATTCCTGAGGAGTTGAGTGCTGTCCTCAAAATGTGTCTTCATCGTAATCCCAAATTACGACCCACCATGTCAGAATTATTGAACACAAAGTTCTAAAAAAAGAAAATAAAAAATGTTGAAGGCAGATTTTTTGCCAGTAAATGAGCCCCAAATTACATTCGGCGGCGATATCGTCGGGCAATGCTCAAAAAAGCAATCCCATCCCATGTATATGTCTTATGAATTTTGGGTTTATCTTGTCTTCTTTTTCCTATTGTTGGAATAAAACATTGTAGAGAGCGACGGCAGTAAAATTATAAAACGCTTCCTGAGATGAGAGAACCTCACGCAGATTATAGTATTTTAAAGTGAAAGACATTATAAACATCTTTTAAAGGGACCCAGGTCTGTTGACACCTTCTGATAACACGGTCTTCGGTACTTTTGTCATTTTTTTAATATAATCTACAATGCATACATACAGCAGACGTACAGGTCTCAAATGAATTGTATATCCCTATTAGCCCCCCCCAGACAAATCTTGGGTCTACCTATGTTGAAAAGTATGGGGGTAAACTACTTTTTTTTTTTTAATAGTATAAACCCAAAATAACGTCGTTAGTAATATGCGCCATTTCTTTATTACCGTCATTGACTTTCTCCAAGACACAAATTGATGTCGTACATCAAATTGACAGGCGTACCAATGCTGTCCTTGTCTCCTTGAAACAGGTCGTAGAGAACAGATATAGTGGATATTTAGATCTTCAAATAGAAATTGTAATTCGTATAAAATAACTTCAAATGTATACAATATACCCTTCACCACTTATCCATATCCCCACAATCTTTAGGGTGAGAGGTCATGGCGCGCACACACGAAGCAGCAAAAAAAAAAGTCCTTTCACGGGATACAATTTAGACTTATATATGAAGCGCCATTACCTGCAGATTCTAAATGAGTTTTTCGTTTTAAAAAGAGCCTAATGATAGTATTGTCTTATCAGCAAGCCAAACTGTTTTCTAACCCTTTTTTTGTAAAAGCTCAACAGATTCAGGCTTCATCCATTGCGTTCTCCAGACGGTATCAATCATTTGAAGATTTTATCAAAAAGACTTGGCTTCTGACTTACATTTCATACTAAAACATCCCATCCACATTGATGAAAATTGGATCCCTAGGATGATTGGAGTCCCTCTATAAAAAAACATAAAGAGATTATGATCTCATTTTTATTTTTAATATGTATTATGTAAAACATACACTGGGACAAGCAGGACAGCCCCACATTGCCTGGGTCTTTCAAATAGGCTCGTTCGTTATTACGCGTTGGTTGAACCTCTTTTTATCAGCAGCCCGAAAAGAAGTTGGTTGTACATATTTAGTACATTAGGCTGATATAAGATCCGCTCGGCCTTTGGAGAAGATACATGCAATGTGTTACTGTCCAGGACATTTGCTTGTTCCATTTTTAAAAGAATTAGCCGGTATGGCTTGCGTTTTGTTTGATTTAATCTTAATTAACATGCGTGCTC